TATAGATGAATCATCTGTAGAAATTTGCAAATTCTAGAAATATCTACATCTCATAATACATCTGTGACATCAGTCAGGTCTCAATGACAGAGACTCAGCTTCTATTCATTGAAATGCTATTTATTTCAATAATATAATCTAAGAAATCAATCTTCTGCATGTAGAATGAGCATTTTTCAGTGTTTATATAGAGTTAATACTGTCTTAAGTAACTTAATACTTCTTAAATATGAGTATCATGTTCTTTCTCTGATTTTGAGAAGATTAAAATGTTATTCAGATATACTATATAGAAGACATTAATAAGGCTCTGCAGTGTCTTATTTATATAGATCTGAAAGATGACTGAAGTATTATAAAGATTAAAAGATAAAACAAGATATTCAAAATTACTGTACTTGATATAAAAAGTTATTTTTCAAACATTATCTTTATTAACTCTGATTCTATGATAGATATTCTGTATATCAATCTTTGAGAATATCTTTGCTTCAGATAATTGATCAATCATCTTATTAATCAATGATAATAAATAGTAATTCTTAACTGTCATCTTATTGAGGTCTCTGTAGTCTATATATAGATGTAGTCTATCATTCTTCTTAAGTATAAAGAGTATAGACATCTCTGCTGAACTCTTTAATAAATATATTCAGTTCTTTGATTATACTTCTTCAAGATATTTATACAGAACATTCAATTTCTTTACAGATAAGTTGTAAAGAGATCTATACAGTGTCATTACACTGTCTTCAAGATAAATCTTATATTATATCTTGATATCAGAAAACTTCACTACTTCTCTTTCTGAAAAGATATTCTTAAAATCTGTAAAGAGACATTGTATACATTCATCTTCAATAACAGATACTGCTGCTAATCTTGTAGTGAGAGTGATAACTTCTTTATCTATTCTCAAGTCTTAATCACCTGTTACACAGTATATTGACTTAATCTTTTTCTCAAGATTCTTTCAATGAAACTCTTCAGATTTCTCTATTACTATCTCTTTATTAGTGAGATAATATCATCACATCTGAGTAACTCAGTCAATGAGAGAATTGTTTTCTCTCAATTATAAGAGATCTAGAATGATATTCTCATCTATGATATTAACTGTGTGAAGAAGCAGACTGCTCTTCTTAAAGATTTCTTCTAAGTCTGTGATTACATACTTTGTTTGAATTATGTTAAAATAGTGATATTTCATTTCATCTGTAAATTTCACATGATCTGATGAACTTATCTTCTTTTAACTCTTTATTAAAGAAAAGAAATAGAATATGAAGTTGATATCTGCTCTGAAGTTAAGTAGATATCTCACTGATATCTTCTTATTCAGAGTATATATTGTGATTGTAATATAGACTTAAAGATATAAGAATTATTAATTCTTCATTTCTTTCTCTTCTTTATCTTACACAGATACATTTATCAGAAGAGAAGTTAACTTTGAGAAGATATCTTCTTAATTTCTTTTCTTCTTCAGCTTCTTACAATCACTGATATAGTGATTATCAGCTTTACAGTTGAAATAGAGATCTTTATCAAATCTTTTTTAATATTTCTTTACAGTGAATGAAGAATCAGAATACTTGAAATTCTTCTTTACTTTCTTTATACTGAAGTTATCACAGCACTGTTTAAATCTTATCATTGATTACTTAGAAGAGATCTTATTAATCTTTTTCTTAAAGAATTAATTATTCAAATAAATCTGAAAAGTCAGGTTGACAAGCTTAGTATAATTAATTGATAAACTCTGATATTATAATATTATTATCTGCATCTTATGAGTCAGCTTCATGAGATAAAGCTGTGTTTTTAATTGATTTAAATTATCAGTTAATTTCTCTCAATATTCTTCAAATCTTATATTGAAATCAGAAGAATTCTCATTATTTTATTAATATAATGAGTTGAATCACTGCACTGCTGTGAAGCTGCAGTTGTGATAATCTTTGATTTAATTCAGTAGAAAGTTCTTGAATTCTTTCTAAGTTATAATAGTATTGATACACTCAAGCTCTCTCTTCTTAATGACTCAAGTAGTCACAGAGATGCCTTTAAGAAGATTAGTAATATATATTACTTATATCTCATGAGTATTATACTGACTCAGATTAAGATGAAATTTCTGTTCAAGAATATGAATAAAGCTGTGAAATTTAGATAAGATATTTTTCTTATATCTTAGTGAATCTTCAATCTTAATCTCTCTATCTTTATAATAGATGTAGATGTGTAGAGACTGTAGCAGTAACAGAGTGATTAAAGAACTTATATCAAAATATACAGTGAGTTCAGAAATCTCAGATTTCTACTGAGATAGAGATGTATACACTCTAGAGAATGATGTAGTGTTTCTCTCAGAGAGTGAGATCAGATTAATTTCAGCACAGATATATGAGATTATATCAGTCTGTTAAAGCTTGACTGATTCAAATATATAATTAGATTGAGTGATTTGAATTGTAATATAATAGAACTGAAGCAGTGACTAGTCAGCAGTGTCATATAGAGATAGTTGTTTTAAGAAGCTGTATAAATGAGCTTGACTATCTTGCTTAAATAGCAAGCTTGTAGACTACAGAGTTATTGTGAGAATATCACAGATATGATACTTAGTATACTAAGAAGATTGTATGAGACATGCAGTAACTCTTGTATATATTTCTGTAGAAGAAAAAGATGAATTACTGACTTCTTTAATAAGAAGTCAGCATCTAGCTATTCTATATAGACAATGAATGAATACTCTTCTCTCATTTCATAAGTGAGAATAGTTAGAGTGATATCTCAGCAGTGTCTTATTATTAAGAAAGAGTAATCTGCTAATCTTATATAGAAGCAGAGTTCTTATATTCATCAATCAGATCTTTCTATGATATATCTGAATAATATCATAGAGTGATTGAAAACCGGTTCAGTCAGCCTGCGGAATGAATGAAATCATCCGCATGAAAGTGATAGGCCGTATGAAACCGCAGCAGGGCCTTGGCGCGGCCAGGGGCGTGACACAGACTTTATAATTAGAGTTATTAAATATAATCACTGATTTAATATCTAGTGTATATTTAACTTTTTTCTGATATTCTTATAAGTTATAACTTATCTCTCATAGTGTCTCTTTATATAGAGATAGATATAATAAGATATTAAGTAATTTCAGCTGCAGTTATTTAATTCTATAGTATTATCTGTATAAGATTTATAAAATTGTCTGCAGTGTAATAGATAGATTGATTCAGATTATTATTAAAAGTCAGTATTTCAGAGATAAAAAATAATGAAGAATTTAATAAATTAAAATGAACAGATTTTATAGATAAATATTAACTCTGCTTTTCTATATTCTAAAGCTTCTTTATTATCTTATTATCAAATTTCATACTCTGATGAAAACTGATCTCAGTCTTATCTTATAAGTTAGAAGTCTTCTTATAATAAGTAATCATTCTATTAATAAGTTATCTAGTGAAGTATGTAATTCTGAGTCTTGAGCTGAACTCTGAAATAACAGATGTATCACTTATATTAAGATAGCTCTGCTTCTTCTAGATAAAAAAAAAAGTGATATTCTTCACAATGAAGAACACACTTTCTCAAAAATATAAAGTATATAAATCTACTAACTGACAGATTCAGAAAAAATGAAATATCTTTAATAAAGAGTGAGAGTCTTTTCAAAAAAGATGAACTATCTGTATCAAAAAAATGTTAATACAATGTTCTAAAAAGAAAAACATGTCATTCAGGCTATAACCTGTAGAATAGTTGAAGATTGTATTGATAGATCTATCTACAAGAACATAATATAGTGGTGGGTCACGTGATCTAGTGGGATCGCTAACCGCAACGGCCGTAACGGCCAACAGCTTGTGAGTATAATGGAAGAAGAAGAAGAATAATAATAATAATAATTCATGTGACTAATAGCATCTGTCTGTGGAGTGTTGACCTGACTCCATCCCACGAACCAAAAGCCGAGGACGCGCCCAACAATCACTTGGTAGTTGGGAGAGCGATCGGTAAAAGACCCAGTGATGGCGATCTCAGCGATGGGAAACGGCGGAAGGACAAGTAACTAGTGTTCCGTGGGACAATTTTGAAATGGGATTGAACAGCATATAGAAAGTTTTCTATACATAGCGTACACATCTAGACGAGTTCTCCAGACGCAAGACAGCCAAGATGGCATCTTATTAGAGTTTTCACTGGCTGTTCGACCTGCAAAGAAAAACATGTCAGATGTAATGAAGTATTATAGCACCCACCTGTCACAACTGCATGAAAAGGGGCTTGCACTGCGATTGGTGCCCAGAATGAAACACCATACAAGTTCGTGGACCCCAGCCAGTCGGCGTCCGGCTTTGTAGAAAGAAAGCATAAAGCTTTTGAAGGGAAACGGATCCAGCACAAGGAAATACATCTGTCCAACAGTGTCTTCAGCTCGATATAAGGATCCAACTTCCCCCAGCCTACATTCTGTGAATTTACAAAGTAGGATCCACGCTTCCGCGCAATCTCCTGCCATGGAGTCTGCTATTCTTCACCTACTTTAAGGAGAGCACAGCTAACGTAGGCAAGGAAGGATATTGAACCTAATCCCACCACTGGTGACGGCAAGCCCCCGTGTCAATCTACTCTCAATGATGAGGCTCGCGATCTCCAGTCCCATTCCTCCAGCGATGGCCCGTACTCGATTGCGATTGACGAAGTTGGTCGGTACTCAGGCTATTCCGATATCCGTGGTGATGTATGAAATACAAATGGAATCAACATCGCCAATGCTAATTCTAAATAGGTATGTCGCGGGGATGAAAATGTACCCCCAGATCTCCCTTAGCATTTGCTAATACATCTGCGGAAGATCTGTAGTCTTCATTTCTTCTACTTGGCTGCATTGACATCACTTAGAGCTGCGCTTTTTTGCTGCTTAATATCAACATGGGAAATGTTGTGCTGCATCCCTGCTTGGCAGACAACCTCCTTTCATTATGACCGTGCAACGGCCCAGACTGTGGAGTAGATACCTTGGGCCAAAGATCGTGGTTCCTATGGGCTTCCCGCCGGGCTTGTGGATAGCGCCCTATTGCCCCACGTTGTATGTATTTATGTATATTTAAGACCATCTACCGCTCCCAGGGCAATATCGCCCTGCTTCTTCAAGCCATCTTGCAAAGAAAAGCCATGGCTTGCTCTGATGGTTCAGAGAATTGCGCTTGCCCGCCACAAAGTGGCTCGCTCTTCACTACTGATGGAGATCCATCTAGACTATGAGCGCTGGAAGACTCCAGTGACTGCTGAACCCATTCTCCGCAAGGCTGTTGAACCATTCTGCATTGATAGTATATATGAACAGGAGATGTGGCTGAGGGAGCTTCTGACTGGTTCCTTAGACCGTCCTCTCATTAGCCTGCTAGTGTTTTCTATGCCCCGACTAGAGAAATTGGAGCTCGAGCTGCCTGGGCATCTTTTGTCTGAGCTGAGTAGCTTACCAGTCTGCTCGAGCAGTTTCTTGGCAGTATAACATTTCCCCTGGTAGTAGTGACCATGACGAAGAAGATATGGCTCCTATTATTCTCCGACGCCTCACCTCCGTGCATTTGTACTGGCCTGATGAGGCCCAGATATCTGTCAACCTAGCCTTCTCATTGTTCCAACTACCTTCAATCCGCCCATTTCTCCGCAGCAGATTTCCTCAGCACCGCAATCGGATGGAGGTACCAGAATAAATCCCCGGTAGCCGATATATACAACTGGTGTACTGCCAACTAGCGGATGGGACAAAAGCAGATGATCGAAAATTGCACGAGCCTTCAGTTGTTATTCATACACCTCCATTTAGAAGGGGACAGACATACTTAAGCGTGATGATGACTCTGGCGAAATGATTAATCCCACCCCTAGAAGCTCCTGAGGCTCCCCCTTTTCAGCGCGACAGAGCCCTGAACTCTGTCTAGACTCTAGCACTGATACCATAAGCGGTGGAACACGATTTGACACTTCCGGCTCTCTATCTAAGTTCACGGCACGCAAAACATCTCCATATTCCTATTTTCCCCTCCTTTTACCTCGCTACCACCATCCAGAAAGACTCCCACGCGCGTCCCAGCAAACATCCACGGGGAGATCCTACCGAGGTCTCCGGGGACACTTCATGTCGAAGGTGTGACCCCTGAACGTGTCAAGGAGTTGTCATGATGGTGAGGATGAATATGGATGATGTAGCTGGCAAGGCGTTTAGGGCCGTTGGTGCCGAGAGGGGGGTGTTATGCAAGTTCAGCAGGCTGTGTACCTGTTTTATGCCCCCTAGTAACAAGTGATCCCTCAGAGAGGGAGGAGAGGTAGGGCAGTCGGTTGGGGCGAGATTGGGACTGGAATGGGACAGATAAAAATTGTTTAGAAAAGTGTAAGGTAGGTTATTTCTGGTCATTTCTTAGGGATAATGAACCTAGACATATACTACGAGATTTCTGTTCGCTCAAGTTTAGGTGAAAAGAAGAATCATTGTAAGTATTCGAGCTCTGGACAATCGCTTTGTAGTATAGTATGTAAATGATGATGATGATGGGTTGGGTGGTGTTTCAGGGGCTAACATCTAAGTACTAATGATACAGAACGCAACGCCTCCTGAGAAGGAACCTTTTGTCATGAGGTCATTATTTGATTATACTTTGAAGATGCAAGAAACGGACGTAGTATAGGGGTTAAATAGAAACTCGTAGAAAGGTAAGATGTACAGGTCTGCTCCCTGCTGTAGCAGCCATCGCCGGTGAAAAAAGAATAGGTATGTGGTGGCAAAAAAGTGAAAAGTAAAAAGAAAAGGGTTCAAGAAAGAACGACACCAGCAGGATTCGAACCTGCGCTCCCGAAGGAAATGCCTGAACAACTAGTGGCGGCTGAACGCCACATAGCAGGGCACCGCGTTAACCACTCCGCCATAGTGTCAGAATTTGGTAACCATTCTCTCCTTAACTGTATGTTTGTGGGTATAATTGGGCCTTGCTCTGCTGACGCTTCTCCGTCCATCCTTTTTTTTGTAAACTTCCAAGGATCAAATGCGGTCGTTCTCCTCGTAGGGTAAGTAGAAAAAGTTAAATAGGTAGTAAATTGTTTACGAAAAGAGTTTGCTTTGCTTATATCTAATTAATATTCCATGTCTCTGAAATTGTAAAGGCAGTATTGTGAGTGTTTCCTGGTTTCATTACGCTATATTCATTCCTTCCGATGACGACCCGTCGTCGGGCATTTTGCCCAAATTCTTCTACCTCTCTACTGGCAAGTCTAGGTCCACAACTAGGGGGCTATTGAACTTTTTACCACCCTGGTGCGGCCAGTTCGTTGCCATGATAGCGGCGTTCACGATACAGGTCTCGTTTCTTCCAGATATGACCCTGTCGCCTCTGGCCACGTGCGATTCATCCTCTACCGTCAGTGAGGATCCCAAAGGCCCGTAGTTTCGAAGACAAGGCTGCTTTTTCCCCGTGAGGTCGATCAGACATTGTTTTTTGCTGCCGAGCGGAGGTAGTTCTCCACGAACTGAACTGAGCTCTTTGAACCTTTCACCATGGGGTGAAACATCCCATAGAACTCTGTCGTATCCTCGACCTTCATGGACGTGACCACAAATAGCTAATCGTGGTCGGACTCTCCATAATGCTCGACGTAGATGTTCGCAACCGAGCGATCCGTGTCTATTCTCATCGCAGTGGGACCGAGGCGGCGTGTGAGTCAAGACTATATCAGTATCTTGAGGTATCTGAGCCCAGATGTCCGCAGCTTCTTCAGAGGAATAACCAAAGGCCCATTTCCCACAGTGAGGGGTGTACGGAGACCCGAATATTTTCAATACTGATCGAGGCCCTTCCGGTCTGGAGAGCCGAATAACGGCAGATTCATGGTTTAAGTAAATGATTGAAGACTTGGTGAAGAGAGATTGACAATCGTCTGTCGACTCCCGCCTCTGGTTGTGAAACGATCGCCAGTGCCGGTTGTAGAAATCACTATCGAGGGTGATGTCGTGGTTACCTTAGATATGTTGGAGAACGTATCAGTGTGTCCTTGGAAGGGGGGTCGGTTGCAACGAGGGAAAAAAAAGTATCTAACCCGCAATTACTATTTTAACTTCAAAATCCGCGCTCTCAATCCATTCTACAGTTTTGCACAGCTCACTCATAGTCCCCTGATTCGAGAGATCTCCGGCATGGATCAAGACGTCACCTTTCGGCAGTTTGAAAGCACCATCTGAGGGGCCATAGCCATGTGTATCTGAAACACAGACAATCCGGGTACGAACCATATTTCGTCAGTTAAAGATAATTGAGTATCTCAACAACTCAGGAGTTGGAAAGATGGGAATTAGAAAATAGGTGGGCCTCCACGTTGGCTCTTCCCAAATAAACGAGATTAAACAGCCACGCCCTCTGACATCCAACGATATGGCTATATCCTTCCAATTTGTTAACTTATAGAACACGTCGGACATCTGAATGACAGAGGTAGGAGATGTCCGTTAAATGAGGTAGGAAGGAACCTTTAATCTGGATGAACTGGTGCGATGGCAACCCTTGAAACATTGAGGAAAAGCACGATAGTTTGAGAAATCGAAAACAAATGTGCTCTGTGTTCCGAGAGTTTAAAGACCGAAGCAGAGATGTTTGGGAGGAACAGAAAACAGTTTATGCTAGAGTGCGGTTGCAGGCGCCATAAAACGGTTAGAAAAGGTTGTCAAAAAAAGGGATGATCGTGTTCTGTAATAGCAGACCCTGAAATACGAGATAAATTGACTGAGAGGCGCTCCGATGACCGACATCGACGTCGATGAAGACATGATGTAAACGTACTACGGATGGATGTTGCGAGAGAGAAACAAAGTTTGCCTTTGGGTTTATATGTCACGTGATGTACCACATCTATTGGCAAAATTAGGGCTGGGATGCTCGTCCACACAAACTAGCCTCGCTTAGCCATTTCTGCCCATCGATCCTCTCCGAGTGCGTGGTTTGAAGGAGACCACAACGACCAACGACACGACACCCAACCCGACAATACACTACCCAAGGTGTATCCCCGAGCATAGCTCATCGCCTTGCTGGATATTTGCCTCGTGAACCGGTGACAGAGCACGATGTCCACTTTCGAGCCAGTGGTGCGTTAAATCTTTATTGCGGACTTGGGACTTCGCGTTTTCGATGATAAGGGCTGAGAAAAACTGACTGGATTCTTGTGATGGATATAGGTCGTCATCGACGGCAAGGGACATCTCCTTGGTCGCCTGGCCAGCATTGTGGCCAAGCAGTTGCTCAACGGCCAAAAGATTGTCGTTGTGCGATGTGAAGCCCTCAACATCTCTGGCGAATTCTTCCGCGCTAAGCGTACGATATAACCCTTTCATTTTTCGATTTTGGCGAAAATTTGGCATTTTTGGGCTTGGGGATGTGGGATAATTTGGGCTGTTTGGGATAATTTAGGATGGATTTGACGACTGACTCGATTTCCGCCTATAGTGAAGTACCATGCCTACCTCCGCAAGATCACTCGTTTCAACCCAACTCGAGGAGGTGAGAAAACCATTAGCACACAATTGCCTACGTGTCGGACGGCGAAAATCCACTAATACGGAAGTGCAGGTCCTTTCCATTTCCGCGCTCCTTCCCGCATCTTCTATAAGGCTGTCCGGGGTATGATTCCTCACAAGAGCGCTCGTGGCGCCGCTGCCATGGAGAGACTGAAGGTCTTCGAGGGCGTCCCACCACCATATGACAAGAAGAAGCGAGTTGTCGTTCCCCAAGCTCTCCGAATCCTCAGACTGAAGCCCGGTCGCAAATACTGCACCGTTGGACGGTTGAGCCATGAGGTTGGCTGGAAGTACCAGGATGTTGTTGCAAGGTTAGCCCCCAGCAATACCAACCATGCAGATCAAAATATATCTTCCCGAATTTGGACTATGATCGGTCTGCTAACCATCATTTTCTTTTTAGACTCGAGGAGAGGAGAAAGGTCAAGGGATCCGCATATTACGAGCGCAAGAAGGCTGCGCGGAGACAACTTGTTCAAGCCCAGAAGACTGCCAATGTGGATCAAAAGACAAAGGCCCAGTTGGCGGAGTATGGTTATTAGATTTCTGGGTGAGGGGAATGATGTTTGGCTTTAGGTTCTTTGATGGTAGAGCTGGTTGCAATGTGAACGGCAAACGCAAACCAATCGGCCTGTACCTATAATATCACGAAATACACCTTTAATGAATCAAGGGCAAAGTGATTGAAAAGGGAACAGGGGATAAAAAAGGCAAAAATATTGAATATTTTTTTAAACCGGGTGCTATTGGGACGATGCCTTTGTTCATATTACTTCATAAGCCTGTCTCTCTAAAATCTTCCATGGCGCTTAATCCAAATGGTTTCTTGTTCAATAAATTCCCAAGGCATATCATGATTCATGTGTATGGGTCTCTTCCATTAAGCGTTCTTCAGCGGTCATAATTACATTATCCACATTGTGATTTGTGCTTGTGCCTGAACGAGCGATCTATGGGTACCGAAGTACGGGAACCTAAATAAGCCATCAGGGCTAGCACAACGGCGGGTAGATTTTGTGGGGCAACATGTTGCGTTTCGGGGCAAACTCGGGGGGTGAGACGGGTCACGAAGATAGCCGAAGAGAGCACCTCAATTCTTCTCTCTGCCCCTGGAGTCCTTTTTCCTCATCATCAGGAGATTTTATTGTTTTTGTGGTTGTGTATTGTTCAGCTCTCTCGTAGCTATCTTTAAACATGTCCGGGGCAGCTAGTCGTTTGCGCAATCTCACCCACCACTTCCTCCCCACATCGCCATGGGCCACAGATCCCAAAAGGGAGACCTCCCACCCCTTCAACCGGCACACGCTTTCTCCCACATTCTTCCTCCCGCGCGCAGCTGCTATTGAACCGAATGTATGCTCTATGTGAATGGCTCTGTTTTCCCATTATTTTTTGCTAATTGGAAGCATTCTTCTATTACCGACAGGCCCAAGCTATCTATCACGTCACCGCAAACAACAAGGTCCTAAGGAGATCATATATCGAGACAGCGGACCGGGCTAGGGGATTTGCTTATTACCTAAGAAAACATGGCTTCAAGAGAGTTGGCATATTATGTCCTAACACTCCAGCCTTTTTGGAGTCGATTTTTGCGATAGGTGCAGCGGGGGGAGTCAATGTTGGTATGATAACTTTACTACCCTTTTCTGGTGCGGTCGATGCTAAAATTGAAGCGTTAGCTGTCAATTATAGATTAAAACCAGAAGACATTGCATATATCTTCAACCATTCCGAAGCCGAAGTCATCATCGTTGACAAAGAATTTGTCCCGCTCCTCGACGAGTTCAAGAAGACGAATGGTCATGTACCTCTGATTATCGACACGGACACAGACGCTATAGAAGGCGAGCTTAGCGGGCCGTTCGATCAAGCCGTATTGGAAGGCCTTAGCTTTGATACTACGTCCGGAAACCATGGATGGCAGGGATTGGAAGCTCAGACGCCGGATGAGGATGCGCTCATTGCGCTTGCGTACACGAGCGGCACCACTTCACGACCCAAGGGCGTCGAATACATCCACCGCAGCTGCTATATGGCAACTCTCGCAAATATAATAGAGTCTGGACTAAACTCCAGCCAGGGTCGGTGTCGGTATCTTTGGACACTACCAATGTTCCATGCTATGGGTTAGTTCATATCCCCGTTGAAGAGTTTATTAATTTCATAGTGATGTATTATTTATTTATTTATTTGTTTTTTTCATATTAACCAAGACCCTTTCCGCAGGATGGACATTCCCATGGGCCGTGACGGCCGTCAGAGGCACACATTACTGCCTTCGGAAGATCGACTACCCTCTGATTTGGAAACTACTCAAGGAAGAAGATATCACGCACTACTGCGCAGCTCCGACGGTCAATACCATCCTCTGCAGCTCGAAGGAGGCGGAGGTACTTCCCAATCCCGTCCGGGTTACGGTTGCAGCAAGCCCCCCAACACCACATCTTTTTGAACAAATGACAAATCTCAACCTGCACCCGGTCCATGTTTACGGGCTTACTGAGACCTACGGCCCAATCACAAAGGGCTATTACTTGCCTCAGTGGGATAACATCCCAACAGAGGAGAAATATAAGAAGATGGCTCGGCAGGGCCATGGATTCCTAACCAGTCTTCCGGTACGTGTAATAAAGACTGAAGTACCAGAAGGAACTGTTATCGACGTCGAGAAAAATGGGGAGGAAATGGGCGAGATTGTATTCGTCGGCAACATTTGCGCCAGGGGCTACTATAAAAATGAAGAGGAAACGAAGAAGTTGTTTAGCGGAGGCGTGCTCCACTCAGGGGATCTGGCTGTATGGCACCCAGACGGAGCGATCCAGATCCTAGACCGTGCTAAGGACATTATCATTAGCGGTAAGTACCCTTGGATTCCTACGGTACTCCCCTTGCGATATTCTGTGAAATACTAAGGACTCTTGGCGCTTTTTTTCTAGGCGGCGAAAACATATCCTCTGTTGCATTAGAGTCCATGCTTGCAACACATCCAGACATTCTTGAAGCCGGAGTGGTCGCTGTGCCTGATTCCCATTGGGGCGAGCGCCCAAAAGCTTTCATCACGGTCCATGCCGGCAAGCAGCTTGAAGGCAAAGACGTGATTGAGTGGGCAAAACATGTGAGCGGTATCAGCCGGTTCATGGTCCCCAGAGAAGTTGAAGTCGTGCGCGAACTGCCCAAAACTAGCACCGGGAAGCTGAAGAAAAATGTACTGAGGCGGTGGGCAAAGGGCGAGGATCGGACCCTTGAATGAGATGTCGCGATGATACCATTTTGCTAGTGTTATCCTGCTTTGGTGTAAGATTATGTGAATACTCGGCTTGCTTTTCGAGGACCAATTATATTAGCAAGGTTTTTAAACAAGGGAGTTATAACTTTTCAATGGATCCATTTACCTACTGTCTTCACGTTGAACCCTGCATCTTGAAACGTAAAGCGCTCTCTATTCTGTAAAGCTTGGAAAAAGTCCCTTTGTTGATAGTCATGTAAATATGTAGACTATAATTTAAAGGTAATATAGGGCTAGTTCTCAATATCACAATACATATACAAAACACTATTATCCCGGTCCTAGCCATTTACCTAGATGACTTCTAGAGTACCGCGCCGAATCAGTCACTTGCTCCTGTTGATCGTGTGAGGCCGCAACGTGGAATTCCCCAAGGCTGGCTTATTTAGCGACATCATTCCAACCAAGGTTTCGCTCTATCTTCAGAACTTCTCGCACACCTGTCAGCCCTCTCTGAGCTCTGTCACTACTGGACGATATAGCTTATTCATTATTCTTCCGGTTAGGATATCATTACAAGTAGCTAGCAAAGGCACATAACCTCCTGGGTGGCCTATTTAGCTATCCCCCGCCTTGGCTTCTGCGCCATTGGTTGGTTGATGCTAAGGCGTCTCTGCAGAAACGGGCTTCATATTCCGCACCCAGCCTTATTTATTAATACTTGCCCCCTCCTTCGCTCTGCTTTCTCATTCATTGAGCTGGGTCACAGCAGCCGCCAGATCTTTTCATCAGCAGGAAAGATATTCCCTTTGCCGCTCTCTCCTCTTTGATAGTCACCTCTGTTTTCGACCTCTGCAACCGGCCTCTCGTTTTCTCCCCCCGCCTTCCGTTGCGTCGCGCCCTCATCGAAAACAAGAACCACGCCCCACAAACCGGCCGTCGCTCCGCCTCCGCCGTTCTGTACTTCGCCAGCAACTCTGCTCGGAGCTGTTTCTCGTACAACCCTCAACCCGCTCTTGCGTATGCAGTTCGCTTGCAACGCAAACCTGAGGAGTGCCTGCCCGCTGTTCTGCATCCCGCCAAACTCTCTCGTAATAGCTTCCAAGCTTATATCTTGAGCTGCGTTCAACTGTTTGTGCGGCCTAAACTCACCCCACCGGCCTACCGCTAATCTTCCACGCTCTTTTACATACGAAACCTATCACGGAGTGAATCGGGCCTCAGCTATACTCTGAAGAGTTGAAGTGGAATAATTCACAGCTTGGCGGAAGAACAACATTCGGTGCCTTCAACAAAAACAGCTTCCCTTCACGGGCAGCATATTTAAATCCGTCGAGAATGCTACGTTCAAGGGCCCCGCTACGGCTTTCTGGGGATGATAATCCCTCAGAATCATCGAATTCCACTTCTCCGGAGCGCGCGGTGGACGATGATACGGATTTCTTCATGCATCTAGCAAGCGACTCGGAGTCCTCAGTAGGGATGAGCACTTTTCGGGACCTCAATGTCAACACTAACCCCGACACCGTTCTCCCACCCATCTCCCGCCTCCCTCCCGAGCTCCTCATCTCTATATTCGCAAAACTTAGCTCTCCCTCGGATATGCTGAGCTGCATGCAAGTCTCTCGGAGCTGGGCAATCAACTGCGTGGGAATTCTTTGGCATCGGCCCTCGTGTAATACTTGGGAAAACCTGGAAAGGGTGGTAAAGGCGTTTACAGAACCGCACACTTATTTTCAATACTACGATCTTGTGAAACGACTAAACCTTTCCGCACTGAATAAAAAGATCTCCGACGGATCCGTTGTTCCCTTCTCGCGTTGCAAACGGATTGAACGCCTGACTTTGACCAACTGCTCGATGCTTACCGATAATGGGGTTTCTGATCTTGTGGATGGGAACAAACATCTCCAGGCTTTAGATGTGTCCGATCTCAAGTCTCTGACGGACCATACCTTGTTTATGGTCGCCAGGAACTGTCCGAGACTCCAGGGATTGAACATTTCCGGTTGTATCAAGGTGACAGACGAGTCGCTTATCTCCGTTGCAGAGAATTGTCGTCAAATTAAAAGGGTACATTTTCTCTCCCTCCAAGATAAACTTCCCCGTAATTTGCTAACGGTATCTAGTTGAAATTAAATGGAGTTGTCCAAGTCACCGATCGAGCGATCCAGTCATTTGCTATGAACTGCCCCTCCATATTGGAAATCGACCTTCATGGGTGCAGGCAGATCAGAAGTTCGTCTGTCACTGCCCTTCTATCTACCCTCCGGAACCTTCGAGAACTACGACTAGCCCATTGTGTCGAGATTGACAACAACGCCTTTCTTGACCTTCCCGATGACCTGATATTCGACAGCCTTCGGATCTTGGATTTGACTGCCTGCGAAAACTTTGGAGACTCGGCTATTCAAAAGATCATTAACTCCTCACCGAGATTGAGAAACCTAGTTTTAGCAAAATGTAGATTCATTACTGATCGTTCAGTGTATTCTATATGCAAACTAGGGAAAAATATCCATTATGTCCATCTAGGCCACTGCTCTAACATTACTGACGCTGCGGTAATTCAACTGATCAAATCATGCAACCGTATCCGATATATTGATCTGGCATGCTGCAACAGACTGACAGACAACAGTGTCCAGCTGCTGGCTACTCTTCCGAAGCTGAGGCGGATAGGTCTTGTCAAGTGTCAGGCCATTACAGATCGCAGTATAATTGCTATAGCAAAGTCTAAAGTGTCCCAGCATCCTTCGGGGACCAGCTGTCTGGAACGAGTACATCTTAGCTACTGCGTTCACCTGACAATGGAAGTATGTTGATAGTTATTCGAAGCTCTGTTCAGACCTCCCCCTCCCCTCTCTCTCTTTCTTCTTTTTTTTTTTTTTTTTGGTGGCTAAGGCGCATACTGATCAACCTGTCTATTTAGGGAATTCATTTGTTACTCAACAGTTGCCCACGGCTCACCCATCTCAGTCTTACTGGCGTCCAAGCATTCCTTCGAGAAGAATTGACAGTATTTTGCCGTGAAGCTCCCCCTGAATTCACCCAACAGCAACGTGACGTTTTTTGCGTGTTCAGCGGCGAAGGAGTTAGTGCTTTGCGTGATTTCCTCAATCGTGCGGCTGTCCCTTATCGCCAAGAGACTGGAGAGGGGACGATGTATGATGATGCTGATGAATTAGATGAAGCGGAGGGTCAAGTGACCGGCCTTATGAATGCCGCCGTTATCAATGATGAGGAGGACAGTGAGATAGCTGGTGGAGGAACCCCACCTGCACCACTCGGATGAGAATCAACGAGCCCAGCCTTATTTTTGTCCATCGTCATCGCACCATTCGACGATCAGCATATATTAGGATTACCCCTTTAAAATAGACGCCGGCTCGATTTCGCAAATATTGCTACTGGTACGATGTACGAACATGCAAGCCTTTGTCATCCCACCGCAGCAGTTTAACCCTGGTCATCTGATAAAGATGGCGAGCGCTGTTCAAAAATGGCTGCAAGCATACTGCACACAGAACAAATATATCGACATATAGAGAATCAACTCGCCAAACGACGAATTACAATCTAAGGGGCCTATTTCGTACTGTGGTGCATAGTATTGCCCATAAGGAACAACACGCCGCCTGGCGCGGAGGGAAAAAAAGTAGCAATTATCAGGGGATGGTCTACTGTATATCCTACCGTGGCATTTCTCCAGGGCCGTTACATCGGCTTGATGGTACAACTTCATTGCCCATCCGTCAATCTCGAACTCGAGGGGGTGAGGGAAAGAACAAGCCGCCAACGAAGCGCGACCTTTGGTTTGAACTTTTCTATTTCCTCAATTTTCTTTCACTGGGTGTTTCGTTTTCTCCGATTTCTTGATTCGGTAGTTTTCGTTGATCCCAGGCAACTGTTTTCTCGCCTTATATACCCACTGCTGTGAGGATCGGATGGAGATTATAACGAGAAGGAACCAACGACCCCTGGTTCTAATATGTAGCATAAAACGACCGTACAGCCTTCTATTTTATTTGTGCAGTTTATTCCGGCGTTTCCCCTTTCCCCCTTCTCCCTTTACTCTGTTTCGATTTTCATTTCGTTTCCCCCCTTTTTACTTTTTAGTTTTACTAGACGAGATGATTCCCCCCTTCCTCCTGCTTTTTTATTTTCCTCTCATTAAATACTAGTTTTCCTCTTCCGGCACTCCAGATCTTCCTTTGTTTTTTTAATTATTCTCCCTCTTTCTTTCCCCTTTAGTAACAGGGAAAACTTCAATGATGAATAAAGCCTTTTTTTCACATAATTAAAATTATGATTTGTATGTAAAATACCTACTTTCAGAGAATGAAGGGGAAAGGGGGAGGGGGGAAGAAGAAAGAATGACATCAAAAGGAAGCGGAGATATTGCATAAATTTTTCAGTTTTTTCTTCGAAGGTCTTTCTTTCCTTTTCCTCCTTGGCCTTGATATTCCTCTGCCAAATTCTGGTCCTTCATTTGCGTGTATTTCCTTTTTTAATATACATATTAGAAAGAAGAAAAAAAGAGGGACGGGGAAAAAAGAGAAAATAGAAAATATGAAAACTTATCGAGATGAAAATATTGGTTGGCAAAGTCCGTATAAAATGAATAAATGAATAAATAAAAAGTTGAGTATTAGAGTATTACATAGGTATCTTCTTAAATCTGAATTGTGGTCTCGAAAACATGTAACTAACTGATATTGTGCTAATTCAAACTACTACAAGAGACTGTTGTTTCTTTGCTTCCCATCGCCGTTCAGCCTCCTTTTTACACCCCTTTCACTTCAAGAGAGCAGACTTGACTATTGATAGACCAGAAATCAAACGAACGAGAACGGGTGAAAAAGAGGGAGAGAAAGTAAAATACAACCGGGGACGGGTTGATTTCCGAGTTACCTGCCGCTCCATACTTCTATGTTTCCGTTCCGTTTGTAATGTACTGCACCTTGTAGTTGAATGCATCCTGCGTTTTCAAGATAACCGGAAAGAGAAAATGGATTGCTCTGGGCTGTGTCCCTCTCAATGCCTCTTGCTGCCATGTAGATAAGCGCTGCGTAACAATTGTCGATAGTTTCTTCTTTTCCATTCTCAAGTGGGTGAGAAAAATTGAAAAAAAGAGGAATAAGAAAGGAATACAGAATGCATAAAAGATATTGGTAATATATGCATACATTCAGCCCCCGTAACTAACTAAAATTAGTCCTTGGAGTGCCATGACAATCTGGTTTGGGTTTTCTTTTCATGCTCCCAACTCTGTTCGCTCGCTCACCCTCATCCTCAATATTCGCCCCCATAGTCATTTTCTGGCAGGCGTTCGTTCACAGGAGCCCTACCAGCACCAGCATAGTGACGCCGGCTGCGTGCTATGGCGCCTGATTGGGTAATAGGTAGAAATACAAGCATAGTTTCAAATATCCGTCGACGGAGGCGCGGGTTATAGGAATTTTCCCGGGACACGTTAGTAGTGGAGGTGGAGCATGAGGTCGATGATGAAGGCGATAGCATTACTTCGCTCATCCTATTATTCAGTGCCTCAGGGACCGAATAGAAGGAATCTCGCGACGCAGATGCGTCAACTGAAGCGGTGGTAATAGATGTGTGGGAGTCGTTCCTGTTGTGCTCTTCAGGCGTCCTGTCAGAATCAACAACACGGTGCATGGGCCCATTTCCGCTATTGTGCTGTTCCGTGACGTTACAGTCGTCATCTCTGTCAGTCATATTTGTCGAGAATGATCTTGCTAGAAGGCCGCTAGGGTAATAAAGTTGGTGGGAGTACCCGCTGGGTATGTGCCTATGGACCGCTGTCGTGTTATTGTTAACATCATAAGTATTATCATTGCTGTCATGGTCCACTGCTAGGTTTAAGATCCGTGGAAGCTCTTGTTGCATCAAGCTTGGCACTGGCTGCGGTGGTGGGGGGAATGTAAACGCGGGAAGAGGAGTCCGATTGGCCCCTGACAGTCGGGCCCTAAACGAGGTATCAGTCACTGATCTAGGGATTGGAACTCCTCGTGATGGAAATGTCGTCCCGTTTCGTGTAGGTGTCTGCTCTCGTTGTACGAACGGCGATGGGATTTGGGCTTCACTATTTCTACGTACTTCAGCTTGTTCAGTCACAAGGCTAGGACTGGGAGTGCGCCCTCTTCTCCTCAGAGTTTGGGGTGGTAGGGGGAATGCGTTTACTATTGCTGCCCGGTCACAGGAGCTTGGTCCTCGGCGAGAGGATGGTGAGGAGGCAGTTGGAACTTGTTTGCGTGGAATTACAGGCGGAAAACGTGATAGCTCAGGAACGTTAGCTGTGGGTTGTGGATCCTGGTGGTTGTGGCTTGCTGCTGATTGCCCTCTAGAGACCGGGACTTTGAGAACGACTTTGGTGCCACCCTCTTGCATCTCTGGGAAACCAATATAAGCATGCTTCCGTTGCTTGTAGTAGGAATTCTTTCGAATAATCGAAGGACGAGGGACTAATGACAAGGTCTCCTTCCATCTGGATCGGCACTTGTTTAAAAACATCTCATTTGATTTGAAACAATCCTTATGCGGTCCGAGAAACAGGCTAAGGTGACCACGCCGTAACTTCGGTTCGAGAGCGTCCACCCCACACACTGTCATTTGCATCTGACAGCGGCGTTTGGCAACGTTGGCATTCCACACGACATCATTTTTCACAAGGACGAAATCCAGACTATACTCATCGAAGGATTTGACCTGAGAGAACATTCTGAAAGTGGAGGAACATTTCCGGAAAGTGTTCTTCGATTCGCAGTATTCCCTCAGTAGGAAATGACAGATCCCCTTGTTAAACCAAGATATTGTGAATTCGCGATCCTCATTGATGCTGAGCTCGTATGCGTCTAATGCTCGACGGAGATCGCCCACTGAAGCCCAGAGGGATCCGATGTTGAACCAGACTGGTGCGCGGGACATAAGAGAGGAACTCCGCCGAAGGAAGTCAGTGTGCTCCTCGAGAGCTTCGACGTACTGCGAGTGCCGGGCGTATAGGACTGCGGCAGCTAGGGAGTAAACGGCTTCTTTAAGATCCATTTGTGGGCTATGGTATTTCGAAATTTCGCAATTAAGCATGCGTGGAGAGGGGAGGTGGCCGGTCATATAACGAGGTCTTGGGTGAAGTGGCCCCATTCTGACGTTGATTCAAGGGCCTCCACAGGGCTGTAAAATTCGAAAGGTACGAAGCACGGAAACAAGTAAGATAAAAAGGACTAAGGAAAAAGGGTAGCCCTCATATAATGATGGTAAAGAAAGCTCAGATGAGAATGAGTGCAGAGGAGAAAGCACAAATGTCAGGGGCTGTGTTGAGCCTCAATTCTTTCTCTTGGCGAATGAACTGTGTTTTATAAAGGATCCCATATTACAATGGACATGAAGGAAAATATTAGGTCTCTTCCTCCGAATCCTTTGTAAAATTGCCATCAGATATGAAAGCACACTTGGTCTCATGAAATCCTGTGAAAATCAGATACCCTCCTAGTTCAGATACGTGCCATCAAGCTGATAAGCTCCAGTCGCCATACAGCTTGTGCAGTACAAAGTTCATAGGTCCCACCTCTTGTATCAAATTGACTGACAAGAATCTTCCTAAAAGGAAAAAGAGGAAGAAATGTTGACTTTGAAAGAGAAATCTTTATTTACCAATCCATATAACTGGACAGTGGAGATGGGACAGCTTCCATCATGCCTAAACTGTACAAAACTGGTGGGTGCTCTTGGATATTTAACATCCATTACCTGCCCAGCTTTCTCAAGACTGACATAAAACGAGAAACAAGACCAAAGGCCACGGGTATCATATCAGGTCTTTAGCTCGCCACAAGGGAAAGACATCCTACTCTTTTCCCGGATAGGATAGCTTCAAGGAAATTCAATAGGTTTGCCTTGGGCGATAATTTGGCTCACTAGGTTCGATCGTTTTGATCTTGATCTTTTTTGAAAGCATTAATAATCGAATTGTTAGCCTACGGCATCGCAGAACTTGGCTTGTACATGTACATTACATGTACCGTGGACACTCATCGCCATTAAGTTAGCCCTTCTGTGTAGAATCTCCCCGGCGGAGTCGCCGTCAAGCACGGGAGAGGTTGAAATAAACACTTCACATGGTTAGTTATACTATTACTTGGCATTGGCTTGGCACGGATTAATTCGGTAATAGGCGGGACCATTGGACAGTTGGACCTCCCTCCTATATCAAGTCAAGGTGAAAGGTTTATAGTGGAGGTTGTTTATTAGCACCCCTCGGAGTCCTTAATTCATTAGTCAAAATGAGATATGAGAAGAAAGGAAGCCTAGACTGATTTGGGAAGATGGGCAAGGTTTGTATATAAGACCCAGTGACTTTCTGTCCAGTGTTATGATCAAAAACTGAAACTAACAGTACACATATATCAAATATTAGACAGGCAAAATATACCAAAGGCTGAAAAATATGGGGAAAGAGAAGTAAAATTAAGCGGGACGCCTTCCACGATCGACGGTACAGGCGAAAATGTCGGCATCAAGAATGCCAAACTAAAATTTTAACAGAAGTCCGAAATGGTTGATAGAAAAGGTGGGAATGTTCATTATGTATGTACATGTACATGTGCATATTAGGCTACTAGACCAAAAATAGCAAACAGAAAGAGAAAAGAAAACTTCTCAGCAAAAATTGACGGCATCATTGAATTGTGATGCCATGACTAGCCTCGACAAGGCCATCCGCTGATTTCGAAATAGCAACCCAGTTAGGAGTATAGAGCCGCAGTTCATCCAGTGCCGGTATCACATCGGACTGGTTACTGTCGCTCCACAGACAGATGACCTTTCCACTCAACCCGTTTCGGGGAGCGTCTTGCTTTTCATCATCACCATCATCGTCTTCTGGTTTGTCATGGCTATCATGCCAGCATATATCCACAACCCAAGTCCTATCCCACGTTCGACTCCACAGTCTGATTTCCGCAACTCCTTGGCCGGAAGTGTGCGGCATACGGTGGTCCACTGCGGAGCCTGAAACCTGGAAATCCGCGACTGGCTTGTCGAATTTGAGTTTGCAGGCTCGTGTGTTCCGGCCGGAAATTTCGATGCGTGCTTTGTTTTCACCCACTGTTTTGGTAATGTTGTAGGACATCCAGTCACTGGACACGATTCCAGTGTCCCTATCATGATCTTGTCCCAGAACGCGGGGAGGAAGCCCAGCCCAGGAACATTTTTCGAGTTTACCAAACGCGCTTTGGTCGCAGGTAATATTTTGGCCTGCTGCGCTCGGTATAGAGTTTATTGCATCCGTAAGATAAGGTTGTATGCCGCTAAGAGATACTGTATTCGAACCGTCGTCCAGATTGACTTCCTGTATGAAAAACATCTTCAAACGATTGGCAGGAGAGAAGGGAAAGGCCACCAAATTATAAATTAGAGTACCAACAAATACGAGAAACAGGAATGTCGGAATATGGTATGTGAATCGATGGATGAAAGGGAATAAAGGTGCGAATAGAAGAGTTGTAAAGACGGCACATGCCAAGTAGACAATGAAGGTCGACACTCCGTCTGAACCAACCTGGCTCATTGAGGTGGTCAGGAAAAGGGCAAGCTGGCCGACAAGAATGAGAACAATAGGAGCTAGAAGCAAGAGTTGTAATACCCATGTCCACCTAGGTAATGTCCAGCTCCATGATTGTTCATGTTTAAAACTGGGGCCTTCATCGGTACCTTCAACGACACCGTCAGTGCCACCAGTCCGATAATTTGCAAACGTTGTACGTTGGCCACGAAGTAGGGATGTAGATTCTGTGGGGTCGGTCTCGTCTGCATCTCCGGGGTATTCAGCATGGGGGCCAGTATCAGATGGTAGCTCGTCTGCGGAAGGCGTTAGTAACCTGCTTCTGAGGCTGCTTGGAGGTCGCCCTGAATGCATAATGGCCTGACGCGCAAAATCCCCCTTCCGCGGAAGAGCGAAGAGTTCCAGATATGAAACCCAAGTCGCGAGAAATGAGCCACTAAAGTAAAAGAACACAAAATATCCCGCCGCAATTCCTTTTTGGTTTGCATAAACTGTGTTAATCACTAGCATGACCCACGTTGCGATGAATATCCACGTGTAGCTATATGCTCTGTGGAGAGCTGAGGGCCTGAAAAAGTCAGCGGCACAGGCTAGAAACCAAGCTAGGAATATCCACACAGAGATCATCATGCTCCACACTGAGAATTGGCTGGAATGTACGATATATGGATTGACTTTCTCGAGTAGATACGCCAAACCTATAGGAATGACCGTAGCCACAGCCAATATTATAGGGGTGCGGAATAGGCCGCGGAGACCTCGTAAGGAGACCCGTTCGTCAGTTCCTCCCAACGACTTGGACATCGAAAACAGGTACATTCGGTCTGTTTTAGATAAGACAATAGCCGTGATGAAGATTACCAGAGGGGCAACGATCAGTAACGTTACGGAGAGTGCAAACAGAGTATGAAGGCGGAAAACCGCAAAGGCGGATCCAAACATATCAAACCAAACACCTAGAGTGCCAGTGCCGCTGTTCACTTTGTCTAGGCCCTGTGATTTGCCATCAAAATCCGTTCCCGTATATGAAACGAGACCTTCAGTGGTTCCTATAGCAGCAGAGAGCATGTGCCACAGGGAATCCACACTGGTGTGCCGAGCATCATCTTGGTCTGTGTGATATCGGCTTCTGGGAGCTATGAAAGCCAAATCAAGCCCTCGAAGCCCTAAGATACCGTTAAACACGACATAATCAGTTTGACTGCGCAGTAGGCCCATCTTAAACCCGTCAGCAGCGAGCACAGAGCCAAATGGGTGTTTAGCGTTCTGATAAAATCGTGTAACTTCGGTGTCCGTGGTTCGGAAAAGGGCAGCTCGACCCCCCGCCCCCGCACCTTCAAGATTCAAGAACGTATGCGTAAAGTTTGACAGTGGATGTTGGCTAAATACGTGTGCGCCGTTCAAATAATCTTCCTCGCCATTATTGAAGAGCAAGACGAGACCTTTCCGGGGTTTGTTGCCAGGAGTCGTGAAGTATTTGAGGAGTTGTAGCAAGCTCACGACTCCCATGCCATTATCCGTGGCTCCATACCCTGTTGAAACACTATCATAATGAGCGTTTACCAGAACCCCTCCTTTCCCTTTCGGTTTCCCATTTGAGCGCTCCCACCAGTTCTCCGGGTCATCTTCAGTCCCTCGTATATAAACAATGATGTTGGTGCCTTCAAAATAGACTCCCACAATTGCAGCCTTGCCAACTCCACCGTTAGAATAAGTCAGATTAGACTGATTGTCATCAAACACGAAAACGTCTGGTATGTCGTTATTAGCGGAAGGGCGCTCTCCAGCCTCTACTGTAGGGCGAAGGATCGAATCGATTCGGCGCAGGAGCCACTGGTGGACGTCATCATTTCTCCGGCTATTATATGGGTGAAAACCTCCGGTTAAGTGCTGAAGATCCCTCCAGGCTTCCGTAAGATTCACACCTTCCGGGCTTGTTTCCGGAGCGGGAGGAACAACCAGACTTATGACGAGGATCGGAATTAGAAGGGCGAGATACACGATTGTTGTGATCAGGGTTACCGGCCCGGGTGTGAAGGCAATGGGGTTGAACTTCTGAGCCCTGGGGGTGGCCATTATGGGCGATATGACCTGGGGAAGCCGGCTCCGCTTGGGAAAGTAAACCTACTGAGCAGGAGACAGATCCATTCGCGACAGGCAATAGTTCTCTCGAGGACGAGAGGTGTTTGAGATGCTGAGCGTATCAAGGCGGGTGAAGGCGGCAGTAAGTTTGGGGATTGGATGTTCCTCGCCAAGCCCATCCTCGTTCTCATGCCAAACAGATACGATTGATTTATTTACTCTATAAAATTTGGAGACCCCTGGCCCAGACGGCTGGAACCTAAGTATGAAGGTAATAAGGAAAATCCGTGGGTTTAGGAGCTCCCTCTGTCATTCATATTTCTCTTTGTTCTATAGGAGTAGGCAAATTCAATACAATCGCTGCTGATCGCGGGAAAACGGGAAAAGGGGGTAGGAGCTTCTGCTGCTCTGAAATGGCATCTGGAGAATACCATACATAAGAAGATGGGAAAGTACAAGGAGAAGGAAAATATAAATTTTGCAGTTACAGAGGAAACAAAATCATAAGACGTTCATTGTTTTAGTATACATCGATTATATTATATTCGGGATCGTACACAAATATGTTCATAGTCGCACGGTATGTATCTGCCGCCCCTCAACCCCCAAAGCACTTGTCTCGTTTTTAAAGTTGCATTGCCCAAACACCCATTGCCTCGTGGTTTTTAAGTATTTGATCACTACATTTCGATCCTCCCCACAATATATCCGTAATATAGAACGGCTTGGCGAACGATGGTATCGTCCGCGATTAGCATCTGGTGCTAGATGGACCCGGGGTGGAATGTTCGCCTCTATCTCTCAAAAACCAGTTCGCCTGCTCTCAGCAGCTTCCACAGGTTTCTTTCGTTGGTGTACAAACCGCGGTAGACTGATATCCCACCACTCTCCCTGACACGAATTGGTTAGGTACCGTTACGGATGCCCGGTCCTCGAGGGCAAGTAAGCACAACTCATGAGTTGTTGTCCACGTTTCAATCCAGAGACAGAGAGGTTGCGACGTTACGCAATAATACTGTCCTTAAAGACATAAAAAACGCCGGTATACGGTGGTTCGGATGCTCAACCTGGGCATTCTGTTTCTGGATTGCTTGCTTCTCCATTTTGTTCGCGAGACCCTGATCGGGAGGAATTTCCTAGGAGCAAGGTGGTGCTTGGGCTAATTGGGTTGGTCTGTGTTGACCGGCTGCAAGTACTGCGCGTCATATAGTGTCCGTCGTCACCGCTTAGAGATCCACCAGGCGGAGGCAGAAGAATGCTTGGTGTGTCTATAGCGTCATCCGATTCCGACCGTAATGGCTTAGAAGCTACGGGGTTGAGTCTCCGGGCATGGGTAATGTCAGTAGTAATGCGAGTAGGGTCAACAAAATCTGGAAATCCGTTTGAACCTATGGTGAAGTCCAAGCAGCATGAACGGGAACTGGCCAAGTGTACCAACTGTCCCAGAACGGCGAACTCCAATTTTAGCTTGATACTGTATATCATTACCCTGATCGATGGTTCGTAGAGGTATAGGTTTGCATATACCGCGGCGAGTAGTCCGACGTCCATCACGGTTACGATTACATTGATGCTGATAAGTTGCCACATGATCCTCCTATTTCCCCTATCTAGAGAAAGCCTCAACATTTTTACGGTTTCCCAAATGTAGAGCGTTGATATGATTAACTCTTGGACGCAAAATACTGTCATCTGTACTTTCTCTATGGCGATGTAGGCTTCGAGAAACGATTCGCGTACCATCAAGCGAATTGAGACGATTGCACCGGGCAGATGGAAGATGACAGCGTTGGCAACGATCATAAACAGAACAAGGCGGAGGACTTTGGTATTACGTAGGACTAGATAGAGCCTTGAATAGAGAATAAGGGATTGGCCTGTTGTCGTCACCCACCAGCCAACGGAAACCAGAGTGACCAGAGGCCATTCCGAATCGATCGGTGGTGCGAAATATCCAAGCAGGAACCCGATGGAGTAAGGCACAATGCCTGCTGATGTTGAAAGTAGCAAGCTCCAAAAATATAGACCTTTAAATGTGCGGAAGGCGACAAAAATCAGAACGAACAGTTCTAACGCATTATACAAGCTGACAGCGAGGACGCTTGCAATGGCAATCCGGGTGCCCAAAGGTAATGGGGGTAGGTCCATGACGTTCTCAACGGTGTTATTCGCCATTTTAAACCGGTTTCCTGTCCTGTCGACTTAGAATCGTTGATGATTTGGGAGAACGCGTTGAGGTACGGGGCGAGCTCTGGGACAGGGGGCATAGGTTCAGGGATTGTAGATTCACGTTTCCCAAATCATTTTTAGAGGGGAGAGATAGGGCCACGGGGTACGCGCAGAAAGAAATCAAGCATGGAAGCCGTTGGAAAACGAGGGTGAAGATTATGGCGAGGTCGTTTGTGAAGGCGATGATGTTGAAGATTGTAAAGACTGAGAGCGGAGAGAAATGCGAGCAGGAGCGCTCCTAGGATTTGAAGGAAGACAGGGACGACGATCTCCACGGTCGGGGCTACTATGTAGAGTGGGCGGGCTTAGACTATGATTGCTTTCTCCGTGGCCCAAGTGAAACACGGCCCGATTCCATTCCCAAGAAATCCGTTAGAGAGTGGGTGGGAATTGACTGGTGTGTGGTCCCTGGGGACTGAGGTGGGCAATCAGACTGGATAGAGCCCGGAGGGTTTCTCTTTAATATGCTAGCTCTCACTCAGCCAGGAGTGATCGACTATAGTACCTAGGCTCCTCGATAGCGTTGAAAGGTATCTCCATCCTCCTACTGCTTATATACGGATGCGGCTATGGGATACCGTAGGCACGGTACTTTGTAGGGCATACTTTTCGATGACTTCGCTCTCCGGTTTACCATAGTAAACCCAAAGGAAACAAAACCCACCTTTTTGCGAGTGGTTAATTCTGAGGCTATTTCTTCTAGTCGCGATGTGATGTGGGGGTTTGAAGTGAGCCTAAGTTGGCGTTGGTTCGACGTGATGTTGCCGTAGGCTTTGGTTGGACGTCAGCATTCAAAAAATTTGAGAGGTTCGGAAAACGGTAGGTTTATATGCTGGTATATATAGCTGACGGGCTTCCTCAGCAACCTACTCGCTATCCGCGCCTCTCATCCTGCCAAACGCGTCCTGATATCGGTCGAACAGTGCCTGAGAACACCGTGGCGAATGGCATCACAGCCAAACCTGCCCCTCATAATGTTGACACAAAATTGCACGTGTGTGGTGTACGCTGTAGACTCGAAAAAACAAACGTTAATCCTTAAATGTGTGCCCCTTACTAGCTTACCAACGGCGGTGAACCCCAAAGAAAGGGGCGAAAACTGTCGGGGATAATGAACTGCCACCTCACAAGCCAATGATATCGTCAAATATCAGCAGATCTGGCGTTGGTTCAGTGACTCGTTGCCGGGGCCTTGACATGGAAGCCGGTCACTTTTACTCTATATGGGGTACTCCGTACTAGCAAGCAGAAATCTCCTCTGTGAACGGGCTCGATGGTTCCTCAGAACCCTGCTATGTGGCTTTCATAGTACGGAGTACATCAACGTCCGTGCAGCGCACATTTCCAGTCTGAGAAGACCATCCAAAAAAAAGCAATTTAGGATAGCCATTTCACCACTAGCACAATCCAACTATTTTTGGGCGCCAGTTTGAACGGAAACCCTCTTGCTCAACTGGGAGTTCCAGTTTCGACATTTCATCATTTGCTTCAGTGGGCAACAATGGGCATTAAAGCAGAAAACTGTATTGTATCCGTGAGTTTGACAAGAGGACGACGTAGCAGCCCCAGACGGGGAGCCATCGCTGACCGGAAGGAACACTTTTAAAAAGCTAGAAGATGGCCAAAAAGAACCAAAATTCCATTTGAAATCAACATTTATTCTTAGAATTATTTTTTGGAAATGTGCAACTCACTCCCAGAGAGATTATCACACACAGACATCGATCCGTTGAACCAAGGCTGCAAGGCACGTTTCATTGGGCAGGGCCGTCCAATCGAGATCTCTAAGAGTTCGTCGCTCCAAGCTTGTATGATAGTCCGGAGACATCAGCGGGACAGGCAGTCGGCCAAATAATATAGAAAGCTGAATCCACCCTGACCTTTCATAAAATCTACGCTGCGTAATCAAGCTATCTCCAGAACGCGTGAATTCCTCATGTAGGGTCATTTCTAAACTTGAAGGCCCGAAGAACTTCGGCTGGGGGATGGGGAAAAGAGAAGCATCTTGCTGAAGAATAATAGAAGCGGTCACGTCCGAATACAAGTTGCAAGCATCCATATTCTTTTCTTTTTTCATTTTCTTCTTTTGTATCTTTATTTGCTTTTTACCCTTTGTTTTTATTTTTTTCCTTCTCAGAGAAAGCTGGATACAGTCGTTCTGGAAGTGTGTCGTGGGCCTAGGGCGCTCGGTCGTGGGGAGTTCAAAAACCCAATCAATATGCACCTGTGGCGTGGAAAGCAGGCTTCTTGCGACAAGTTACGCTCAGCAGGGAACTAGACAGAGAAGGTGAAAAACATCATACTGCGGACGCAGTCCTGCGTACGGAGCACACGACGAAAGTATCCAATCCAGATGCCCATAGAGCAGTCCAAAACTAGTCAATAATGGAAAGTCTCTCGGGACCACCCACTCACAACGCCCGTGGGCCGCATCAAAACAATCCGGCCACAGTCCGGTAAAAACTTGCCTTGAAACATAATCCTTTGGCACCAACAAGGACGACGCTCAGCTCCCACCCCCATTCTTATTATTATCCCCATTCCCGGACATACCGCCACTCATGCTCACATCGGCATTACGCTGCGTATTTCCATCCAGTGAACCTGCTCCGCCCGTTATGCTTCCACCAGTAGCTCTCAGTACCCTCTCAACCTCCCCTTTACACTCTGGCATGGCGCTCGCCATCTCCCGTGCCAGAATATCCCGAAAACTAGCAAAGGCTTCCGCCTTTCCCTTCAAATCCTGATTGCCGCGTTGCACAAGCTCAACGAATTCTCGCGTGTAAATATCCGGGTTACGTGCTGCGTCGACGTAATCTATGATTTCTGGAGGAAGTTGGACGGATTGGAGGGGCGGGTCGGGATCATTTATGCGTAGGGATGGTTCGGAAGGGGAGGCAGTCGGGTCAGGGCGGGAATGCTCGGAGAGGGTTGAGAGGGAGAGCGTTAAGGACTTTCTGTGATTGTGGCTTGAGTTAATTTTATCCCAGGCTTTCTAACAGTGAGAAAGTGATGTAAACTGTATCATAAAATGTTCCCCTATCGCGTCCGTTCCGCCAGGAAGCTGGAGTTCTGAGGAATCAGGAGACTAGCCGCGCACCCACCGCGGCTCATCCATGAATGACGCAACTTCTCGTTTCCAACAGGTAGCCACATTTTCAACGAAAAGGGGGCTATGATTTACAAAGGGAGTAATCGCTCACATTTTCCGCACAAGCTCCTGCTGTGTTTCAGGGCCCAGATATCCATGGACGGCGGATTGGATTTCGAAAAGGTGCTGAATTACATCCTTAAGATCATCTACTCAAAATAAAATGCAAAAGAGCAATTAGCAACATCTTCAAGTGAAAAGCATACAGCACCTAATTTCTTCCAAGAAGACATGAAATGCTGGATACAAAGATATCATATCTATCAAGAGCAACATACTATCGATCCCACTCAAGGTCACTGGCGCCATTCGCGAGGGGCGCCCAGTTAGGCAGCGTTCACGCCTAGTTCGTAAATTGTCTCAGCTCCACTTCTTGCGGTAATGTGTCCTCCCAACTTCATGGAGCTGTTTGTTGTCCGGGTAGGAAATTAAGTGGATTGCAATCGGGTTTGAGATGTGAGTGAGCGTGGAATTCGCGCGGCAATCCTGAAGAAATGACCCCACATGCAGAGCCGGGAAGAATGAAAACTAGTACATATATGATCTGCGCTAAACCTTAAACGATCCACAGTGACTGACATCTGGAACTCTCTGGCCATGTACAACATCCACGGAGATGGGAGTTGTTTGCGCAAATAAGTTTAAATAGTTTGCGTTACTCGCCGGCTGAAAAATAAATAAATAAAGGTATCAGAGCCCTTTGACACGAAATCAAATCTATCCTTCGGCCCAAATTGATATTTGCCCGCGGGCATATGTAGAATAATTAATAGTTTTATACAATCAAGAGGAAACAAGCCTGAGAAGACATCTATATCCTAGGGTAAACTTTGAGGAAGAAATATTTACGAGTAAATACATGTAGAATAAGACGGCGAGGAGAGGGGTGAAAAGATACGCAAAAGTATAGAGGGGTCAGAATGCTGTTGGGATGAGAATCGAGAATGCCGAATAAAATTCGGAATTAAATGTGGAGGCCAAGAAGATAAAAAATAGAGATATTTATGGCTCCTGCTTCTATTATTGTAAAACCAAAATGATCAAGAATTGTAACAATAAAATAAACAGTAGGTACACGGGGGCAGAAAAGCACTGGGCCTTGTTGATCAGAGGCTCTTCACTGGTATCGCAATAATAGCGTTGGGGCAGGATGAAAAATATAGAAATGGAAGGAAGGAAAATATAGAGTTATCTGAGAAGAATGAAAGAGAAAAATAATTAATTCCATTAAAAAAAATAAAAAAAAAAAAAAAAAAAAAAAAAAAAAAAAAAAAAAAAAAAAAAAAAAGGGTATCATCGTTCCTTGCTTTACACCTCCTTCGTCCTCATAGTAGAGACGCGAGGAGGTGGTACATCTATTTCCGTCTCCACTAGCTCTAGACCAGACAAACTTGGGTATCTTTTACTGAAATTCGCCTCCCAGTTGTCATTTGGGCCTGTTGGCTTGATCATCTCTATGGAAGACTTGCGGTCCCTAGCAACTGTGGTTGACGACGGGGGGTTTTCAGGCCGGTTGCCGGTACGCAGCTTCTGTGGTTTTGGAGGTGCGGGGGGTTTCTGATCCGCGGCGGTGATAGTGGCACGTGATGTAAACGGCTCAGATGGGGTTGGCTGCTGGGGTCGCACAGACACAGGAAGCGGTTGAACCGATCGTGGGTCCTTTGGTAGCAGTCGAGGAGGTTGCTCGGGGGTATGTTGTTGTTGTAATGCGACGGGTTTTCGGGGGATGTTGAATGGTACGGGCCGTGGTGAGAGAGAGGGTTGTTCAAACTGCTTCGCCTGCAAAGCAGTTTCTGTATCAGTGTATCGTCCATATCCAGTTGCAGTTTTAATCGTTGGGTGTCTATCGTTTTCTTTGAGGAGTGACTGGACCTTGCTCTGAATTGATGCTGATCTTATTCCTTCAATCCTTCCCCCACTGAGTCCCCCATCCTCCCCCCGTTCAGCTAACCGTTGGCGATACTCAGCCGCAGCATTTGCGACCCGCTTCTCTTCCTGTGATAAACGTCGTCGCTCCAGCTCACGACGCATTTCTGGTGAAATATCATCGTTATTGGTTTCATGGATATCATCGCTCATTTCGGTAACTTCTGAGCCTGTTATTGGGGTGAGACGTGCATTCATATTGTCAGGAGACGGAGTACGGCTTGTCCTTTCCTGTGCTGTATTACTCTCAAAACGACGGAAGGCATCGCCAAACCGTCCAGCAAGTAGATTCTTAGTTCCAGATAGAGATATAGACGATAAACTGGAACGTTTAACATGCTTTGGCCCGCTGCTGACACGTTTCTCCCGTTTTCGGTTTGATTCCTCTACTTCTTTGGCACGTAAGAAGTCAATGTCTGACGATATGTTTGCTCGCTCATAGTCACGGTCCGTCTCAGACTGTGAGTGATGCAAGGCGTCACCTCCCTCGTATCCAACCCGGGAGAAGCTGGAATCGAAAGCTACTCTTGGGGTATCAACATCACGAAGGTAGTCCGGCCTGGATCCAACGAAAGCGCTGGTAGGTCGGGCCTTCGAGTTTGCGGATTTGGAACGGGTGGTGGGATCACTGATATCAAGGGTAGAAGGTCGGGATCCCTCTAGCGACGGTCTGGAAGAAACGGGGGATGTTGGCAAATCTTCATACGAAAGCTTCTGTTTGGATTCACGTTTGAAAAATCCACCTCGTGATGTATAGCCATCACGACTGCCGGAGGCTTTTTCATTGTCACTCTCCAATTGTTGGACGGAAGGTCGCCTTTCAAATGAGGAATTTGGATATTTATGTACAGGTCGTTGAGAGAAAGGTGGACTATCCGATGGACGCAAGCGTGGGGAAGGAGTTGTCATTGTCCCAGTAGACACCATGACCGGCTTTTGAGGAATAGGTTGATGTAGTGGAGTGGCTTGCTGTCGTGTCAATTCGGCGCGTAAGTCAGGAGATGGTATCGAAATCTTCTCCTCTAACGGTTTATCGCCGAGAGATTGGGACTGTGGTCCTATTGCCGGGGTCATTTGTGGTACAGCCGTCGGGTTCGCTTTGGCAAACGCCTCATCGGCGAGAGCATTGGTTATTCGCTTAGAAAGATCTTCCGTAGGTGTCTTGGTCTCTGTCACTGTCGGCTCAAATTCAAATTTGGACCCTTGCTCATGGAAGAGCGAAAATTCGTCCAAGGTTGGGAACCTGGAAGAGAGCTCATCACCGTTGGGGACTTTGCCCCCATCGAGGATAGCGAACGGGTCATTTGAAGTGGCCCTTAAAGGTGACGGGCTGGGCTTAGCTGAATTTTGATGCGAGGTAGATTTAGTCGGTCTCCCTCGCCTCATAGGAGCAATGTCAGGAATAATCTGCGTCTCCTGTATGGGCGGCGAAAAAGTCGCCCCTATTTTTGGTGTTTGGTTAGGAGATGGTGGCAGTTCTTGGTAACACCTTGCCTCGGAATGTGAACGCCCAGAGTAAATCTAGATCAAATCAGAACACTGTAGTTCATTAACGGGAGAGCCAAAGTAGAATATAGCACTTACGTCTTTGATAGGCACTTCTTTGCCTCGCATGCGACATGCCTCCTGTAGTACTTGATATATATTCGGTCGCTTTTGTGGGTCCTCTCGGAGCATAGACGCTATTTTTTAAAAGCCGGTCGTTAGAATAACAGTACTAGAGGAAAAACCAAAAAGGTTTTCCATCAGTCTTCGATATATCATACCTATAAGCAATTTTAATCTGTTGGAGAAAGGGGGATATGCAGGGAATTTAAATTTGGCATTAAGGATCGCCATCTGCCCAACCTCCTCGAAGGGAGTAGTATAATAACAGAGTTTGTACAGAAGGACGCCCAGCGCCCATATATCACTCTTCTCATCGATTGGTTGTTTGCGATAAACGTCAATCATCTCCGGGCTGCGATATTGTAAGGTGGTATGGCGCTGGACATCGTCCTCTATCAGCCTTCCTTCAGCAGCAGTAGTAGCAGCCGGACGCGGCGGCGCCGTCGACCCGAAGTCGCATAATTTGTAGCTGAACGAATTCCCATGCAGCGCTATCAAGACATTTTCGACTTTGAGATCCCTATGGAGCAAAGGCGGTTTAAGGTAGTGCATACAAGCGGTACCCTCGGCGACGTCGTTGAAAATCTTCAAGATCTCAGGCTCCGTCAGGCGATTTTGCAACCGAGTATTCATAAAATCGATCAAGCCGCCTCCAGCACAGAACTCCATGAGAAGGAAAACCTCATACCCACCGCCCTTTAGCTGGGACGCGTGGGAGTCAAAGTATTTGACAATATGCTTATGCCCCTTCAGCTTCTTCATGGTTTCGACTTCGGTCCGCATATTTGCCAACGCGGCTTTGTCCGGCACTGCAACTCTCTTCAGTACGGCAGTTTCAGCGCCATCGATCGGTTGCGGGAGGCGGACAACGTAGACGTGCGCGAACCCTCCCTCAGAGAGGTACTTCTCGATGACAACACGGTGACTTCCGACTTGGACCTTCGTTCCCGGGGCGAAGGTCCCAGCCGGCGGTACAGCCATTGCCATAGTAAATAGTCGATTGGTCTATCCAGGGCCACAAACAAAATGGGAGTTGGTGGGGAGGGACTCGATATCGCAGGCTTCAAGAAAGGGGAGGTTTAACTGGAACGAGGCGGTGGAGTAGAGTGCTACTATGGTATCAGTGAAAACGCCCCATGAAAGGGCAGCGAGGGGCAAACGCTGCGCAGAAAATTAGAGAAGCTGCATTGAAAAGGAAACAATCAAGGGAAGCACAAGAGGCAAAGAGAGATAGGCCCCGGAACTCCCTGGGACAACAGTGGGTGACTTGGGAGAATGATGCAGCTCAATGATCCCAACCAACTTGTGATCGTTGGCGGTCATCAAACGCTCAAGCAGCCTGGCCAATCAGACAAACGCACGACCGAGCGGTGGAATATTTCGCCGGGCTCCGGGATCACCGCCTTCCGCTTCTCAGTGTGAAGTCAAAAAATATCTAGCCAAGTATGGATGGTATGGGTATTGGAGTCAGGTTGTTGTTGCCTGACACGACACACACTGACGCTGACACGGCCATCAAATTCTACTGCCTACGATATTCCGCAGCCTAGTGCATTAGAAATACCATGATGGAGAGAGAAGTAAGCCGAGGGTGGTGGATTTGCGATCTACCTTCGTCTAGGAAAAAGTAGTAGGCCGAGCATACCAATATCATAGGCAGAAATGTCGGCGGGAGTCACGCTTCGATAATACTACGGATGCTGCTTCTATGACATGTGCGATTTATTTGTTCGTTGATGTTCAACTTCCCATGAGTCTATTTTAAAAGTTGCGAAATTTTCAGGTGACTTCTTACTGTGTTTAAGTGTATATTGCGCAGCTTGTAAAGGGGGTCATAACGTCGTGCCAAAGTTGGGTGGTATCCTATCTAAACATAAAATAGCATAAGGACAGAAAAGAAAACAATATAAAATAAGTATTAGAGGCCATATTGAAAAGTGAGCATCTCATCTCCCCGTCGCACACGGGCATCCTCTCCACCCATCCCCAACAGCTTCACTCCAATCCAGTACCTCACGCGCGAATCCCACCATGTCCCTCCTACAACAGCCAAGGGAGGAACTTTTCCAAACCCACCAACACCCGAGAGGTGGCCAGAGGATGAATGATCAGTTTCTAAATCTACAGCCGTAGCTCTTAGTGTCGCTGCGGAAAACCTAGATCTGGTATCATTTATCACACGTACCACCACCCAGAGCGCTACAAACCCCACGAAACTAAGCAACACGAAGCCCAATGTAATGAGTAATGGAATGCGATAGGCATCCTGCTGGAAGCGTGGGGAGAAGATAAGAGACGCGAAGACTCCCGCTAGATTCCCGTACCCGTTTATCCCTAGGACCATGGTTCGTTTTCCCGGGTTCGGAATGTTGCTTGCCAGCCATGTTACGGTTAGTGGGCTGGGGATGTAGCTTCCGCTCAGAAGTACACATAGAGAGAAATATATAGCTGTAGCCCTGGCTGGGGAAAGGGGTGTAGAGGAAGAGGACGATGAAAGAAAAACCGTAAGAAGTAGGCCGAGAGCTATCACCATGAGGCTTGCTAATATTGGGATGATGCGTTTCCGTGACTTATCGCTCCAATGGCTGAAGATATAGAGGAATATTGACGCGAGAAGGAATGGAGGAGCGGTGAGAAGGTTGCTGAGGGTGGGGGATGAAAGCTGAAGGGAGGATAGAACCAACGGAAGAAAAACGGAGAAGCCAGTGTTAGGGATAGCAGAAGCAATATTGAGAAGGAGAATCGGGAGCATTAGAGGTAGAAATAGAACCGTGGATAGGAGTTCCGACTTGGATAGTCCCGAGTCTGATGAAACGTTGGAGCTCACCCAAGGCTGCTTCTTAGTGCTGTTATGGTCTGGTAATAGCCGAAGTCGCTGTTCATCATCAGGCCCAGTTAGGGTTTCTTCTTCTAGAAGCTCATCTGACAATGTCGTGGAATTCAAGGCTTTTTGACTCTGACAATCGGCGTCCGCCCGATCAACAAGGATGCGCTGTTCTGCGTACGCTCGCTCTTCTTCATTCAAAAACCAAGCAGTTCCCACGCTTCGGGGCAGCCAGAAAAACCCGATGATCGCAATTACAATAGTTAGGCATCCTTCAGCCAAGAAGAGAATTTGCCATGGCCTTAAAGTTCCTGGGTGTGAATCTGAGGCAGTATCACTGCCGTCGATGGGTTCTTCACTTGGAGGGAAACGAGAGAAAACAGAATACGCAATTACTCCTCCAAGAGCTCCTGCTACTCCGTACGACCCATAAAAGAGCCCAAGTCGACGTCCAAACTCGAAACGGGTGTAAAACAGCGAAAGGTAGGATACCGCAGTAGGGTAGAAGCCAGCTGCAAGGAGCAGGAATGTTAACCATATTGTATAACAAGGAATTGTAAACCCGTCTTATTAAGGTAATCAAGCGCTATGTATCTAAAAACAAGGCAGAAACTCTCACCTTCCAAAGCCCCGAGTACAACCCTCAACAAAATAAGCTGCCATCTATGTCGGACCCACATATGCAGCAGCGTGCAAACTCCCCAGAGCGTCATAACACTCGGCACCCATCTGCTCATTCCGAACTTTCTTCCCGCCGCAGCCCCGACGGGCTGCAGAGCAACAAAGAAGACAAAAAACCATGCTACCGCCGCATTCAAATCTTCAGGTTGTAGCCCGACGTCACGAGTGAAATGGGCTGTTTCGGCATTCCCAATATTAGAGCGGTCGAGGGAATTTACAAGGAATAGGACAGAGAGAAACGGAAGGAGGATGAAATCGAGCTTGCGGACGGTGCTGGTATGGATTGATCGGTCTGGTTCCGCACTGCGGTTTTCGGCTGTCGGCATCATTGCGTGTTATGTCACTTGCTGGTCATTATTCATACGGGATGTAGGGAAAGGCCGTTAAACAACATGATGGTTGAAGGGCGATATTGAAAGAAAATAAAATGGCCCCTGGCTCCAACCATATCCGCTTGGCCTTTGGTGGTTGTTTCATGAGCCTTTGGGGTGTGGCCGTGTGGATTGACGTCGTATCTGGGGACAGGGGATTGGTCGTTCTTCACCATTTCGAGCCAGGTGAGCAAAATCACGTGGCCCAGCTCTTTCTTTCAGCGCCAACGGAGTTCCACAACTAATAAGAAAATTGAAGGAATGGACGGGGAACAGGATTCTACTACATCAGATCATCCCAGCTGATCATCATGCATAGAGCTCGGGAGCTTTCAATAATTCTATCCAGGGTGAAACTAGCTGAACGAGTTCTAGCTGCTGGAAGCCCGCTTACCCGTTGACCTTGGCGAAACAACCAAAACCGCCGACCAGCTTTTATAACTATTATAGAATACTCGGAAGAAAATCCCGTTGATCGTTTGGAGAATTATCAGGAGCTTCAATCAGCATGTTGGTAGAGCGGTTTTGGGTGTATCATTTACTGCATTTACGTGGAATTGAAATATATATATGCTATGTATATATGGTATGGTTCATCTAATATGACATGAACCCTCTCCTATGATTCAATGATAATCGAGTTCGAATGGCAAACTCACCAGAGCTAAAGCCAAATACAAGCGCATCACTCAGCTCCCATAACTCGCAAATTAGACCTAATCGAGGAGGTTGACCACACCGAATAATGAGCAAGAAGCAATGCTGGGAACAAACAAATGGCAGCCCACTGTGACTTCTGTGATGATGCCAAAAGGTGAATGCCAAGACCACCAAGCGCTGCCAAACACGTCAAACACACCGCCTTTCATGTAGCGTGGGGCGGCAACATTCAGCAAATTGAGCACACAGCCAATCAGCTGCTAGTAGCGAGGTTACGAGGATGTGCCAAGTCACGCTTGGTCAGAACAAGAAAAAAGTAAACAAATGAAAAAATACAACCTCCACGCCATCAGCAGTGAGCAAATCCTCGAAGAAATTGACAAGTAATGTTTTGAGGAAGCCCTTTGCATAGAAATAGGGGATCGTAAAAGGTGAATGGGAAATGAATGTAATTCCTGTGTCTCGCACATATCGTATCCATTGATATGGGGGAGAGGAAAAAGTAGGAAAGCTGTGACTATCCGTCGTTACATTTTGCGTTGCACATCCCATCCCTCCGTTGGGCGGAAAAGAAATGCAGTCCAATGACAAGCTCCATTTAAAGAATAGTTGGCCAATCGGTTGGGAGTAAACTCCGCTGTCGAGTTCAGTCTTGAGGCTCACCGACAAATGGAAAGGAAAGCCAATGCACCATGACTCGACAACCTCGCGCGATGATTTGGCCAATGTGTCAACATGCGGGGAGGATGGAGGCACCTTTTGAAAGAAATATGTAAACAAACAAAACCCGCAGTTGTCTGCCTGAACGGTTCGCCAGGTGGGCTTCTGCGGGAATTTTTGCATTGTGTGATTTGGTGAAGTATCAGCAAGGAGATAAATTCAGGACTCAGTGTACAGATTAGTGGCAGAGTCCAATTGGAGTTTTTTCGTGAGAAAAAAGCTAGCGAAGACAGACAAATGTGGTGGTTAGAAACTAAAATATTTGCTTTTTCTTTTCTCTTTCTGCTGAGGCGCGCTCGAATGTTGAGGCTCCCCCAGCAGCAGAAAAATCCCGCTGAGTTTCCCCGGCGACCTTGCAGGGGGTCTGCGGAGAGACGACGGCTTCATCCGCACGCTTAATCGAACGACCACGAAGCAATCAGAATTTGAAAAAAAGGCTATAAAAATATTAATAAACCATTAATCCAGAATAATAACTCCGTCAATCCTTTTCAGAACCTTCTTTTATCCCCAGGTTACTCAGTTGTCGATTGCTCTTCCTCTTTGTCACACCTCACTACTGCCTTCTGCCTGGTTCCTGGCCCTGGACGAGCCCGCATTGTTTCGAGAACTTGGTCCGTTCGGAAATCTTACGATAATACAAGGTTGGTAAACTTCACATCCTTCCTTTTCGTCTCTCTTTTCTCCCTGGGTTTCGTCGTGTTTGCTGTTGGTGTTTGGTTCATGTTGGGTTCTGGTGGCAACTTGAGAACTTTTCTTTTGAAAATACGATTTTATGCTCATATTGTTTGCAGACTGCCTGCTCTTTTCTTGTAAATACTCAGGCATAAGAGCTAGCCGTCCTGGTTTATAATCCCCCACAAAAACATACATTAATTCGAATTCAGCAGCTTATCTTACTTGAGCTACGCCGCTTTCCACCACTTACACCACCAATTCGACTAGTTGGGATATTTTTAAGATCTTCCAGGCAGAACCACCTACCTCAACAACCTCAACAGGTGCAACGTTGGGATTGGGGCCCAAGTGCCACCCCAATATATGGCTGATCATGAAGACATCCCCCATTGCTCCTAGATCTCGACTGGTACGGATTGTTCAAAGGGTATAGGAAGTATTGTCATAGAATCTACAGGACAGAAAATTTCAGCTGTCCTCTAAGTTTCAATTACGCATATACGCTCAATATTCACGACATTTGCATGCACTTCGCGATCTGACTTTACTTTTTTCGCCGCAAGAATGGACGGACCCCCGCCGCCTCCCCCACCTCATGGGACTCCCCCAGGAGGTAGGCCACCTCCCAATGCAAACGGCGGATACCGCAAATCGACAGACCTTCCGGAAGGGCCATATGATATTTTCATTGTTCCTCCCCATTCATCAGGCTCTGGCTTCATATACCTACCCTCCCTGCAATGCCACAGAAACAGCTTTCTGGCAGGAGTTGCGGCCACTTTGGTTGGAGTTGCAGTATACGTGTGGGTGGTGCCACTTATGAAAACTTGGGTTTCAACCGTTGCTCAAAGTGGTGACACAAGCGTCTTTTTGATTGTTATAGTGGTTGGAGTTGCTAGTTGGGCATGGGGAAGGTCACAGATACATCTCAGCGGAACACCCCCACCGCCCCCACGAGGTAGCCCTAGGTCTCCTCCCTCTCCTCCTCCCCCAGGGGGAGGAGGAGGTCCCCGAGGTCCACAGCACGAACCGCCTCCCTCATCAGGCCCTAATCATAACTCCGGGGGAGGACCCCACTATCAAAACTTCAATAGTCAGTACCCAGGGGGAGGCTATGGGAATGGCCCTAACCCTGGTGGACAATACAACGGTGGCCCGTTCCCCGGGAGCCAGTATCCTGGAGGCCATCGATATACACAAGGAGAGGGAACTCCGGGATCTAGCGAATCCCCTCCACCACCTCAACCTCCCCCACCGCCCCAATCCCCTCCAGACCCACCACCAGCCACACCGCCCAAGCAGCCTCAGAATGACACTCCCAAACCGAAAGACACAGACTGGGAGAAAGCGAGGGAAGAAACAAAGCGAAAAGAAGACATAAGACGGAAGATGGAGGAGTTCCGGAAGAAGAGAGAGGAGGAGGAGAAGGAGAAACAAAGACAACGAGAGAAGGAGGCACGAGAAAGGGAATTCCGTGAGAGGAAGGAGAAGAGAGAAAAGGAACGGCTTGCTAAGGAAGCTGAGGAAAAGGAGGCTGCAGAGAAAGCTGCCAAAGAAAAAGCAAGGCAAGAAGCTGCTGCTCGGTTCGCCGCTGCTCGAGAGGCGGCTGCTGCCAAGAGAGCTGCAGACAAGGCAGCCGCGGAAAAACTTGCAGCTGAGAAGCTCGCAGCTGAGAAACTTGCGGAAAAACTTGCGGCAGCGAAGTTGATGGCGGAAAAGTTGGCAGCGGAGAAATTGGCAGCGGAGAAACTGGCAGCGGAGAAGCTAGCAGCAGAGAAACGAGCAGAATCGGTAAAGCAGGCACCATCCCCAAAAACTCCCCCAAGAACGCCTTCTCCGCAGAAAAAACCGCCGCCATTCCCATCTGCTAGAACTGAACTTGACGACGACGCATACTCATTTCGTCCCTACGATCGACCCAAGAAACAACCATCCGCACCCTCGGTATTCTCAGAGTCATCATATGCACCGTCGCAATCGACAGCACGAACAACTCCACCCCCCTCTCGACGAGGACCATATTCCACCAAAGACCCCGATAAGATCATTATTTCTGGTGTGTATGTATTCAACAACACTTTTATGAGGACACCCGTTGGACAACTGGTGTCCGGGAAGGGACACGTGACCGATGGTTTAATCCTGCGCATCACGACTGAAGGAATGTTCGTAGACGATGATATTAGAGGCGTAGCCCAACGCGAATGGGACATCAAGGCATGGACAATGAAGCTTGTAGAGGTATGGTGCCCCCAGCTCGGTACGAACCCTCCTCCCACCCGCCCAAGCCCCGTGAAGGCAAATCCCTTCCGGTTCAGCACGTCCTACGCGCACAAGGTTCCCAGCAGTGAGGAATCTGACGCGTATCTGGCAAACCTGCACAGGTCTTGCAAGAACCAGTGCCGGCTGGGGGCTACGTCTTCCGGAATGGGACCCCTCAATGGCAATAGCAAAAGCAGAATCATTGATGATGGAGACCTCCTGCAGAGCGCGGAATTGCGTGGCTTCCACGTCGTTCGTGCAAGCCTCAGAGACCAGGAAGGCAAGAAATATGTCTTCGTCTTGCAGGAGACTGAGGCTTGGAAAGTAGCAATCGGGCTGCAGCGTTTGAAGAAAGGGAGTCAAGTTAGGGCATTGGGTGTGTGTGGCTTGCCTGCTAACGAGACCAATGCTGTTCTTGAGAGTCTGGGGTATATCGCAAATTGATGGTGATGGTAGTTTTCCAACTGCCCTTCAGGTCAGCGATCAGGTAAGCCTCTATTCCCCGTGTGGAAGTTTTAAAGAATGCCATGAATGATTTTGGCCATTGGAACAAGAGGTGCTGACCATCAATTAGATAACCTCCAGTCGCCACATCCCTGAATTCTTGTGTTTGTCACCCTGCGGCTTGTTCAATTCTTGTGTCTATTTCCTGTTGTTTTCGATGATTTTCTTTCTTCCTTGTTTCAGCCCTTCGCCAGGCACATCCATAATATGCATCTTCTCAGGTCATTTTAGCGATGGAGTTTAGAGTGCATATATCATTCATTCGCTCAGTCATCCTTTTGTCCTCTGGCGCGCATTCTCTTTAGAAGACTCCCCTGCTGCAATAGCCCTTTCCATGTTTTTAAAGTTACCTGGCGTTTGATGATTACCATTCTCCTCACCACCTAGTCGTCGGTCTTACCTTCCTTTATCTGTCTTTAAGCGTCCCCAGTTCTGTTTTTGTTTTTTTGTTTTTTTGTTTTTTTGTTTTTTGTTTTTTGTTTTTTTTTTGGTTTTTGGCATGGAACTCGTTTTTGCCGCCCCGTACATCTATGACCTCGAGTTATGTGTGAACGCATGTTGCCATAGACTAATTTGGTCTGGACATCATACGCTGGTGTGTACAGTGCACATAATTTTGGAAATATTCTAGTTAATACCTTTGGGAAATATTTTTTTTGATATTTATAGTTTTTTAGTCGCACCTAGCTCATTGACTTCTTTTCTTTTCCTTGACCGTCAATTAGTCCCCCGCTGGGCTATAGCAACACGATTTCTAATTATTCCACCCCCAGGAAGCTGATGCGGAGGATTCGGTCTTGCCGCGTAACCATGAATTTATTTCGAGGTATGATAGCGGAATCATTCGGCAGGCGGCGCTAGGACGCCAGCCCAGATTTTCTGCAACATTTCAGCCACAAACCTTCCAAAATGAACACAAACCAGCGCATCTTCAAACAACCAGATCCGTGAACAAATAGGACTGGAACTCGCGTCCAATCAATGGCACATGGATCGATACACAGTTGCTTATTATGAGCTGTCTGCATTCTCTAATCCGGAACCCCTCTTTTCAAGATGCAGATTCCAGCCCCCCGCTCAGCAAGCCATTTCCGTAAAAAAAAAAAAAAAAAAATTGGTAAGCTTGAGCTGATGTGAGGTTAAAATAATGTGGCTGCCTGCTCAACTGTGGATAATCCACGCACTCACCTCCATCATCACCTCTATCTGAGGTCTCTAAAAGCTCAACCCTACCAGTTTTGTTCTCTCAGGAAGGGAATCGACCGCGGACGGGGAGTCCCCGCGCTGGATGCTTCGGACGCTGTGATGTTTTGATTTGGTCTGCGGAACTGATTTTTGAGACCTCGTTCTGATTTGCCCCACGCTCCAGGATCAATCTTCACAAAAACTGATGTACGACATGATTTGCGGGACCTAAGTGGTCTGAAGTTTGGGAATCCCCAAACTTGATTCTTGTTTTTATTTATTCTCTCTCTCCTTGAGCTGCTTGCGCTGTGGTTTTGTGTGCCAATGGCACTGTACGAGGCCCGCTGAACAACTGTAGCAGCACTGGCGTAGCATTGTCCTTCCCGGGTTCTTCTTTTCTTTTCTTTTTAAAGAAGGAAAAAGCGCCCCTAACTACCCTTGATTGACTGAATTATTTGCCTCGTCTGACGGGTTGGTTGCAGACTTGGCTCGGCTAGGTGTTCCAAGCAAGGCCCTTTATATACGGCGTTCCCTCACCCTGTCTTGTATTCGAAGCTTGTCTCTTGCCCCTCTCACCCGACCTGCTGATAGAAACAAGAAGTGTTTTCTATCGATCTATTCAACGCCGCAACGCTTATTCTCCAGCCCAATAAGGATCGGATTGGGAAATTTTGAATATTATGTCCTCATACTCCGACCAGCCAAGGTATCGGGATGATCCTTCCGCGAACGAGAAGGATATCCTAGCTGCTCAATATAATACTGCAGCCTTGGAAGATGCAGAAGCGTGCCCCGTCAACAAAAACCGTTTCTGCTTTATGAAGAGATTGCGAGCCTGCTCAGGAGACAACTCTCGGCCTATCTGGGCTAGAGTCTCACTCGCACTGTTCAAGGTTGTCCTCTTTGTTGGACTCATTGGCTTCCTTTTCAAGGGCACTTTCCACGGACTTAAGAAGGTATGCAGGAAGTAATTATTTCATCCTCGCTTCAAAGTTGCGCATCCTGTCCATTTTCATGTGAAATGTCATGTTTCGTTTGACTATTTATTACCTTTGATGCCTCCATACCTAGTTGATACTAACGAGTATCTCTAGCAATATGCGCCCTCTAAGCAGAACAACCAAGTCTCTGTAAATGACTGGCACGACCATGGGCCTTCTGAAAAACGGGACATTTCTGTCAATACAACTACCAACTCCATTGTTGGCAAATTTCCGCTCTATGACAGCCTGAATCTGACTACCGTCACCGGCAGTATTGCTGTAGTCATCGACCCTCAGCCTGCACATCCGGAGCAACCAGACAAGCCAGCACGTGTGTCCATCAAGACCGAGTCGGGAAGTATTTCTATTGCGTTCAGACTGCCCGGTGTGCAACCCGCCCTGAACGATGCGTCCAGCTTCACTCAACTGCAAACCCTCTACCACTCGGAGCAACCCAGCGCACGGAGCAGCAACGACAAGAACAAAAACAACCTGCACGCCTTCATCACCCCACGAGCCTACGAAGTAGAAATCCACACTTCCTCCGGTAGCATCTCGGGCCAAGTCGCTTTCTCAAATCTGCTCAAGATCTCCACCGTCTCCGGCTCTATCAGCGCCAACCTCATCCCCCTCGTCTTCCTACCCTACGAGGGCGAAGAGCCCCCCTACGACCCCCATGATCCCTACCACCCTCCGGGCGATGGCCGTGGTGGCTTTGTTCCGGCACATCGCTCCAACGTCTCCATCATCACCTCCACTGAGACAGGAAGCACGCATCTCTCGATCTCGGAGCCCTTCTTCCCACCTCCACCAGAACCTGCCAAGAAATCCCCCAACAAGCCCGAGCCGCCCCAGAAAGGCAAGCAGGTCCCTCGATCTATCACCGCACACCATATCGCGCGCGGCTCCGGCTCTTTGGCCGTTGTTTACCCGCCATCCTGGGCTGGGCGAGTCCATGCGAGCAGCTCTGGCAAGGGTCATGTCCGCCTTGGCGGTGAGGGCTTACTGGTTCGCCATGGCAATCAAACAGTTGCTGACGGTGTGAGATATCCGGACCCCGAGGACGAGTGGGATGCTCCGTGGTGGGGCGCGTCTGGCATGATGAACGTTACTGTTGCGAGTAATGGGGGTATGGTCGACTTTTTCGCTAGGGGGGATAGGCTGGATGTATGAGTGAGCTAGGGAGCAGTATTGAGTATTGGGTTGGATTGGCGGGGAGATAAGAAATAGTCTGAGAAAGAAAAAGGTGTGGAGAGTTCATGGTGGGATGGGAATGGGATGAAGGAATAAATACAATAGGTAAAGTAATCTAGTAAGAAAGGACATGCGCGCTGATGGTATCTTTCTCCCTTCTACTTGGGACTTTATTTTATATTTGTTCGTATATTCATTCAATATTTTCGATTTTGGGCATCCAGAAAATTTCCTTTTCTCTCATTTCCCCCGTTTTCTTCCTTCAGTTCGCCGTGGAATAATTGGGTTTCTGGTGATAAAAAATTTATACCCCGCTTTGAATAATAATATACATACATAGAAATTAGAACTCTCTCCGGGATGAAAAATAATATTTGGCCCCCCGGGCTAGTAAACAAGAGTCGAAAAAGAAAAGAGACAAAGCTCATTTAATCGAATTGGCCCTTCACCTAGTTTTTACGCACCTAACCTTCATACAGAAAATAGATTAATTGAATCAATATTATCCTTCTGAAAGTTTGGTAGTTTGTATGGCTATTTTTCACTATACCATGCATGTTGAGGTTGTTTCCCTGTGGCATTTTATGAAGCAAGAAAACATTTCCAATGCGTCGCTAGCTAAATTGGAGAGCTTTATTTTCTCATCTTTGATCCACGCTGGTCTTGATAAAATTGTAGGTGGATACTACGGTTAACTAGCACCGTATAATTTTGTATGAGCCTACTATCGCTGCTGCCGAAAAAGGAAAGTGGGGATAGTGATATGATTGATATGCTCCATACAAATTTCTACCCATTCTAACTCATCATCTTGCTGCCCAGCCTGCTGAGGATTCTTCTGTCTCCAATCCTGCTGCGTACAGCCTTCCCTATACTCATTCCCACCCCCTAGCTCAATAATCTTTTGAATATGGACTGGCACCCGTTCAATCCGGGATTGAATCTGCTTCTGCAAGAGCATATTCCAGCAATCCTCCCAAGCCTTGATAGCATCTTTGCGATTCTTCGGAGCCCCCTTCTTGGTTGTATACCGCTTCATCCATGGCCAGCAAGGCTCAATTGGGTTGAGATCTGGGGAATTCCCACACCAGAGCAGCCGCTGCACCTCAGCTTTATCATATACAAGCTGTTGTACGTGGTGGTTGTGTGACAGGGCTTTGTCTTCTTGCACTATAGTATTCGGCTGTTTGATTGCGCAGGCTTTGGCAAATGGAAGGAGCTTTGGAATAAGGATTTTGGTCTAGGATATCCATTAGTTAGTATACTTCTGCTAGGATAGTAGTAGGGATCAATCACCTGGTAGCGATACCAATCAATTCCGCCCTTTGAGCTGCTGTGAGCAAGCTTGCCAGTCTTTGCATTGAACTTCCATGTTGGCCGCGCCCAGGGGTTTGTTGACGAAGATTAATCCTTCTCACACCAGTCTCCAGCTTCTTATTCATTTGCTCAATCTCTTCAATGGACTACTTCTTTTCAGCTGCAGACTCAGGCCCCCAGCAGTGCGCAGGCCCTTTATGGTTGTAGGAGAAGCATCCCCAAAACATGAATTCCATTGCACCCTTCCACCGCTCACAAATGCAGCTGCGTACAAAGGCCTCATCAGCTCTGCGCCAAATCCTGTAGCCTCCACGGCGGTGAAGCAGGATAACAGAGGTCTCATCAGACCAAATAACATTCTTCCAATCCTCCAGAGTCCAGTTCTTGTGTTTCAAGCACCATTCAAGCCGTTTCTTCTTCATCTTCTCGCTCAGTCCTGGTTTCCTTGTAGGTTTTGTCTTGCGATACCCTGGTGAGCATTAGTAGAGCAGTAGTAAAGCAAGAGATCTTGATACCTGCTTTTTTCAACATGCGCTGAATAGTAGTGGAAGAGATCTTGATCCCAATTTTGTCAAATTCCCCAGCAAGATCAGCTGTGGTCTTTTCCCGGCCATATCGATCATGCTAAATCTTTGAAATCAGCTCCTTGCTAAGCTCCGGTATCTGTATAGTAGGCCACCTGCTGCGACGAGCATCAGCAACATGCTCAGTCTTGATTTCTAGAGGGCGCTGCTCAGGATTGAATCCCAGTTGAATGGCAGTATGATAGATCTTGTTGATTTGATTGACTGAAATTCCAGTTGCTTCATGAATCTCAGCAGTAGATTTCCCTACAAAGGGAGATTTGAGTGTAACAATAAGAGATTTCATCTCTGGAGAAGCTTTATTGCGTTGCAAAGGCATGTTGTAGAGGAGCTTTGAAGCTGCTGCGCTGCAGAGGATTTGAAGCAAGAAGATCACCTAGGAATCATCAAAACAAAATCTGATTTTGGTGGGAGACCCATACGAAACCGATACAAGAAAACTTAGCTGTGACTAACTTTTTGAATCGGTCCTCCGTACTTCAGCTCATGATATTTCCTTATTATGCTAGTTAATTCCTTTACTTCCTATCTAAAAAGCCAAAGAAAAAAAAAAAAAAAAAAAAAAAAAAAATCATTGCACAGGCAAGGAAACCTTTAAATAACTCAGCCTACTTCTTAGCACATTGTTCAACATCTTGCTCACTATGGAGTTGAACCAAATTTGTTCACCTGAACGACCAAAGCTTGATCCAACTCTCCATTTTAAAGGATGTTCAATTTCTTTCTCAATTTGCATTGATCGCTGCCGCTTCCTGGTTGGCGGTTCTCTGTAAAATGCAGTCATTCGGACGCCTTACATTCTCCTCCTTTCTCTTCAAAGGGCAGCGACCATGTTTCCCGCGGTCCAGTGGTCGTACATTTGACAGTGAAGAGGTCATTGAGGCGTAATGTTTGCTTCGGCACAAAGGCAACCACCTACCTACACGAAAGTCGAGGCCTTGCTTGGCGAAATGCCGGGAGAATCGAAAACTACGCCGTCCAAACGTGGACTATGGCCCATGGCGATTACAACCACCTGTATCCATGAGAGAATGAGGCTCGGAGGTCAAGAGGTTACTTAGGGCTGCTGGTCCAGTGACCGTTGATGTTTCACCGCTGGTCCTCTCCGCTTGACGCTGTCCAAACAAAATAATAGAATCAAAGAGTACGCAACAGTAGGAAGGGTCTTTATTGCTTAGATGTTACACTCTTGCGACTACTCTCCATTTACTAGCCTTCAGGGTGTTAGGAATTGGGATTCTCTAAAGAGATAAAGTGCGCCGCTGACCAAATGCAAACTTCCCGTTAGCATGCCGTAGTTCAGATCTCCAATTTTTCTCCCTTCATGTAAAGCTTCCTCGATTGTCCGCTCGCATGATACTGCTGCAGTTTGATCGAATTCTTTCCAAAACCTGGCATAACTTTCTTGGATATCGGCAGAAAAGGGGTTGGTCAAATTTCGATCAGGGGACTTGGGGGAGCTGCATTGACAGTGGCACTCTGCGTCCTCGTGGTTACAGCGTAAGTGGTAATCCTTGAAGTCTCCATGCCCGGTCCGGCTGGCGTATAGTTTCCCAAGTGTGAAGCGTAGGAGCTTCCTCTCTATAGATGACCTTTGTGATGGAACGGTTTAATAAGAGATAAACTGCATATTATATTGCTCCTAGTACGAGAATACAAAGCTGGAGAAAGGAAAGAAAGAAGTAAACAAACCAGCTACCTAACACATTTATATCATCCTGTCAGGCGAATCCTGTTGTTGCCCTAGTGCTTAGCCCTAACAACCCAGTGTCCGAATCCGCGCCGTCACACCCCTCGAAGAGGATCTCAAGATCGGCGTAACGTTTTGGCATGTTCTGGGCCCAGTACTCCTCGAAGTCCTGTCTGGCCCTCTCTTTGGCCTGCCTGTTGTCGCAGCAGCCTTGGCTTCCTGGCCGGCCCTGTCGTTGCCTGGTATTCCTGCGTGCCCTGGGACCCATCTGACTATTAACTACCCTTCCTCGGATGGTGTGGGGGAGTCTCACTCTCTGCTGCCAGGCTAACTCTGCCTCCTGGAACTGAGCAAAAATCTGCTGGCTAGAGGTGTTGGTCTGACTGCCTAGAGAGAGACCTTGCAACCTCTATCTAGGTTGTCTAGGCAGATGTGGACATTGTTGGTATATCTGGCCTGTTTACAGGCCTTGCAGAGCTCCCATAGCCTCTGCATCAAAAAACACCTCACCTTGAAGTAGAGGCAGGTTTCCTGTTGCAATTACATTACTGGATCACACAAGGACAATAACAATACTCTCACAAAAAGCAAGGACGATGAAAAACTTTAGTCACATGAGCTGATGAGGGAAGAATTGAAAGGCCGAGAGCCGACAATTTTCTTCCCCTGAAACGGTTCCACTTGGGTTGACTGGATGCCCTCACCTCCGCCTCTCACCCTCCTCACCCTCGCAATGGGTGAGGCAGCCGGGTTAAAGCAGCCCGCCTCCAGCGCTCCTCCAGGACAGGACCAGATTCCCTTTTTGACTATAGTAGGTATATATATATATACACACACATCCCTGACTAGCAAACCAAGAACGCATCGTGTCCTATTCGACGGACGGGCTAGGAATAGCAAGAAACAGAGAGAGGGTGTAATAAATGGGAGATGAGATGGGCAAATGGCACAAGGAACAAAGCATGAAAAGAGAATAAGCAAGAGGAATGGAAGGAAAATGGGACCAGCTTCACAGGGGGGACCAGTCCTTGGATGGGAATTATTGAGGGGAATAAAAGGAGAGAGGGCGGGGTGGGAAAATAAAAAGAAGAAGGGTGTTACAAGAAAAGCGAAAACGAAGTGAAGATGGAAGAATTGAAAAAATGGTTTCTCACCCGTTTACCAGTAGAGATGATTGCTTCCGTACCATGTGAACAGAACCCCCTGCGCATCAACTATTCAATCCATCCAATTCATTACACATAGCTAGAGACCAAAACTTATAGCCATACATGCCAACTGGCTGCGTTTAAGAAAAGTGATGATGGAATGAGATAAAGAAGAAACATGAAAAAGGCGTAAAGCAAAAAGCAAAGTAACTAGACAAATAATTGCGATGATAATAAATAATAATAATAATAATGAATATCAATCGAAAAGAACGAGGATAAAGAGTAAAGAGAGGGGGCGGCAGCAAGGAAGAAAAACAGAGTGGGAATCATCGTATATATGATTTAAATCAAGTTTTGTTGACCTTCTCTCCCCCTACCCTCGCTCTCTCTTGTATGCGCCTAATTTTCCTTAATGTGAAATCTGTTGCCATATGCATGCCATGAATTCTATATGTGGGTGGTTCGTTGCATTTATCCGTTGTATCTTGCTTTCCCCCTATATGGTATGAAAGTTGAGGGTTTTTGAGTTTTCAGTTTTGAGTGTTGTTTTTTTTTTTTTTTTTTTTTTTTTTTTCCCGCCAAACTTTCTTCATTATTTTTCTTTCTCATTTTCCCTGCCCTCATCATATACAATTTTTGACTTTACCATCCGTGCTGGTGGTAGGAGCTCTCGAACGGGTTCTGGCCGCCAGTCCGTCCGCTAAACCCGCCCCCGTTCATCATATTAAATAGGATGTTGGGGTCGATATGGATATTCTGGCCGCCGCCCATGCCTCCCATTCCACCCATTCCACCCATTCCATGCATGCCTCCCATGCCTCCCATACCGCCCATGTGCGCAAATGAGGCCCCGCCACGCGCGAACATGTCCGCGGGATCTAGGAGGTCATCGCCATTGTCATAACTTGCGCGTTTTCTGTGAGGTGAGGAAAAAGAGGTTGGTTAGTTTATGTGGCTAAATAATGGGAAAGTTTGCGAATAATAAAAGAGAAGGGGGCAGGCATCGTTGGGGGTACAAAAAAAAAAAAAAAAGAGAGAGAAAGAGAGAGAAAAGAAAGAAAAAGAAAAACGGAAGATTTCGGAGGTCAAGAAGAAGTGGGGGGAGAGAGTGGGATACATACTGAGGATCACTCAAAATTTCATACGCCTCTCCAATCTCCTTAAACTGCGTATCTCCCTTATCGCCATCGATATTCTTATCTGGATGATGCTGAATCGCCAACTTTCTATACGCTTTCTTAATCTCCTGCTCTGACGCATTCTTATCGACGCCAAGAATCTTATAGTAATCTTTCCGTTGGCTCTTCTTAAGCTCAAAATCTGCGTTTCGAACCTCTTCCTGAATGCCCTTCTCGTTGGGATTGGCTTCAGCAATCTTCTTGAATTCGCGCGCGGCTTCCTCCCAGTTGCCAGAGGCTCCGTACGCCTTCGCCCGTACCCGTTGCGCCTTTACGTATGAAGGATCCAGTTTGAGAGCGTCTGTGCAATCTTCAATTGCTTTGTCGTAGTTGCTGAGGTTAAGGTAGGCCTGGGCGCGGTTCTGAAGGAGTTTGGAGTTGATGTCTTTATTCTTGGGGTCGACTTCCAGGGCCTTAGTGTATACATCGATAGCTTCTTGGTACTTTCTTGCCTTGAATGCCGCGTTTCCTTCATCCTTCATTCGGAGAAGTTTCTGCACCATGCGTAGGTATCTGACCGCTTGGGTGGAGTCAGGGTCTAGGTTTAGAGCGAGTTTAAAGTGTCTGATTGCCTGTTCGTTCTCGCCTTGGGCGTAAAATAACCGGCCACGGATCAATAAGGCGTCCGGATCCTGATTGTTATCTCGTAGCATTGACATGACGATATTCTGCGCGTCGCCCAATGTGTTGACATTTCCCATCTTTAGGTACGCCTCTGCTCGCATCAGCCGCCATTTGCGCGGTTGGGTCACGCCAACCCCAAGTCCCTTTACGGCCTGGTCCAGGCAGTACAATGTCATTGAACCTCCTCTATCTTCCCGTAGCAACCCTTCTGCCTGGGTGATATGGTGTAACATTGCCTCCGCGGGGCCTTTATCCTTTGCGGTAACGGGTGGTTGGATTCGTGAATAGATGGATAACGCCTCTGTGGGGCGACCAAGGGAAGTGTATATTCTTGCCAATCTGTGCATGATTTTCTGGTTACCAGGCTCCAACTCATCAGCTAGTTTGGCATCTTCCAGGGCTTCATGGTAGCGGTGTGCGGATATGTAGGCAGCCGCTCGATTTGATAGATAGGTAGATGATGTGGGTTGGGCTTCGACAGCTATATTCAAGAAGATATATATTAACACACACAAACACACCCACACCCACACCCACAATGATTAACTTCATAAGCTCTTTCCCTTGTTATCCATAGATAACTCCATTCTTTCTTTTTATTTTTCCCGTTCGCTTAACCATGGCGCATATAATTTTCACGCACAATATTGCGGACAGAGCAAAACAAAATAGACAGCCAAAAACACTTACCCTTCGTATACTCTTGGATAGCTTTCTGAAAATCACCCGCCTTGAAAAATTTATTCCCGGCTAATTTGCACGCCTCCGCATCAACAACGGGCTGTGTAGGTTGTGGCGTACTTGAGGGGACATTGTGAGGGGGAGGGGTAGGGCTTCGCTCTGCGGTATCAGAATGGACGCCATTTGACTGCATCCCAGTAGATGAAGCGGGGGAGTCTTGCTGAGTGGGCGTAGAGAAGGCGGAGGGGGAGACGGTGGCGTTGGTCACAGCAGTGGGCGAGTGCGCAACGTCCGGCTGCTCAATGTCCATGGAGCTGCGACTATCGTCTCTTGCAGCTGCCATGGCGGATAGGCGGCGGAGCTCGTCCGGGGGCAGATTCAATGGGTGGGAATCCCGATCGTAGGCGAAGCGGGAGGACGAACCCTTGGATTTATGCTTTGTAGGGCTACCGGAGGGCGTCGAGGCAACACGGCGGCTTTTGCGTTCGGGATCCCGCTGGGGTTTGGGCGACGCCTTGGAGGGAGATTTGCGTGACGAGCCAACACGGGGAGAGGAGGATGATTTGTTTTTGCTATAATTATTGTTGTTGCCGGTGATGCCAATGGAGTAGGGCTGTTGCTGCTGCTGCGGCGGCGGCGGCGGCGAGCGATGGTGGTCGGGGTCGGGATGGCGGTGTTTGGAGGCAGCGCGGCCCAAGGAAGAATCGAGGTGTCGGTCGGAAGAGGCAGCACGGACCAAAGCGGGCGGATGCTGGGAGTCGTGGAGCTGCAGGTCAGACAAGTCTGATGTGTTGCTGGCGGAATGCTTGTGGTGCTTTTTCTTGTCGGGGGATTTTTTGGAGGAGGAAGAAAAAAGTTTTGTGAGAACCATGAGTCCGGTTCGAGTGAGGTCGAGAGCCAGCTAACGGTCGGCTAGGGATGCAGGAGCAAGGTCAGGGCAAAAAAAAATAAAAATAAATAAATAAAATAAAAAATAAAAATAAAAATAAAAAGGAAAAAAGAAAAAAGGAAAAGAAAAAAGAAAAAGACAAGGAAAAGTAAAAAAAGGAAAGTAAAAGAAACCTAGAGAAACAACCACCAAAATACAGACAAATAATTATTACAAGAAGACAACAATACAATAACCAGCGAAAATGAAGGCCGAACTGGAAGACACAAGCAGCAAAGGATGACAGGGCAACAACAAGAACAACACCAGTATTTAGTAGCAGCAATATCTAGCAGTAGCAGCAGTAAAAGTCCAAAACTAAATAATAACAACAACAATGGCTGGACGGACAAGACTGACTGACTGACTGACTGACTGACTTGACTGCAAGGAGTTTCTCTCAGCATCAACAACCCCCCGCCAGCGCGAGAGTAAGTAACTATTTATTATTGTTATTTGGAAGCCGATGGAAGTCAATCGTGTCGCAGCTAAGCAGCTAATCAACGCACTTTGTTCACATCCAACATCAACAGCAACAAATTTTCCCCAGCCACGGGAATAAATCTTCAACCCCAAAAATCACCCTAAGTATTTAGCTAGCTAGATGGCTAAAAGGCAGTGGAGTGGTGCAGGGCTCACTCGGGGGAGAGAGGAGAGGGATGCTGGAATCGAACAGGCTCGGAACGCAGGCGGCGGACTGCAGACTGGGCGAGTATTGAAGATATCGGGTTGAAGAGTTGATATGATTTGATATATGTATTGGAAAACAGGGCAG